TAGGAAAAGCTTACTAGAAACAGTTAGTGACTCCTGAAATCTGTAGGGTCAATCATTTTAAAAGGTGCTGTATTGAATTATTATGTGAAATGAAACATCTCCAGAAGTGAAACATCTCTAGAAGTGATTTCAAACCTTTTAGGATTTTTCACTTTTATAAGCATATGACATTCTTCTGTATATTTTTATAGTATTACAGAAGTTAATTTTCCATATTCTAATATTCATGCAAAGGAACTTTTTAACTAACAAATGCAAGTTGTTATTAAAACATTTCCATTGATAAGAACTGTAACAATTACTTGACATTTATTTTGTTAATCATGTATTTCGTTGGAATTTGCGTAGAAAATTCCTCCATTCTTGACAAAGGAGATGCTGGACACGGATGAAAGGTTTATTTCTTCATTCATTTTAATATTACAGCTTTATGAGGGTTCCATGAATTATCGTTTGGAATACAGCTTAAATTAAACAATAGTAGTGCCAGACTCCCGGCAAACCTCTCCCAGACTCGTTTTAAATCTTCCCACGGGCGGAGAGACGTGCATCCTAATAATGAGGGCATGCTCGTGGGCTACTATGCAAATGATTGTGGCGGAATATGGCGGTTCTAAGCGCCCGTTTCCTGATTTCGCTCCTTTAAAATGTCTTTCTTGTATGATTTATAAGTGAGAGCTTAACGGTAAATGACGGTAAACAAAACTGAACAATGTCTAAAATGTGATCGGGCGCGAATTTTGAGAATTGGATTATTTTCTACGACATATTCATATATTTCTTTTGAAATGTTAGCATATTACTGAGGTTATGTTCATTTTCATCCTCTGTTTCACTTTGGAATCAGATCACTGAGTATAGTGGTGGATGTCAGCTGTGACTCAAACAGTCCTAACAACCCACTACCCTTCTATGATGCCTGCACATCATTTAAACAGCCTTCCGTAAGAGTCAGTCTCCCGTAAGTACATAATGATTGCGCGAAAAAGAGTTGATGTAGAATTGTTTTCTACGGATTACATTTTTGGCGTTTTTCTTCGCTGCTTCTGTGATGGTAGTATGAGGACACAACACTCACACGAGACATTCAATGTGAAAAGTTTATTTAAGATGAGTCAGTCTTCTAGTATACGGATTCTGATACAATCTTAACATGTGCACCCTGAAACAAGGGGTTCTACAAAAAGAACCTTTGTTACGTCAGATACGAAAACCACTAAAAAAATTCTCTTTGGATGTGGTCAAGTTTTGTGTTAAAACGTATTCCTCGTCTTATGCAGCAGCACAATACCCTGAGGAAAGGGTAAACTAACCTGGTTGTACTACTAATCACAAAGAGAAATCAATGATTGTAATGATATTTTACAGGCAGTTGGAATATTAAAATTACAACAAATAAGAAAAAAATGGTCAAACATAAGACTGACCAACGTACAATGACTTAATTTCCCGCGAAACGCTTAAATCATCCGAAACTTCCATGATGCCACGCGAACCTCCTCAACGTGCCATCAGAATATTAATTTCTGGCTAAGTCATTCCCATGTCACTCAACCGTCAGAAATTACATTTGGAAATCGTTATTTCATTGGACCCATGCGAATAGTGGAGAACCATGTTCATCATTCGCTGTTTAGCGAGCAGTGATGGCCGCATTCCCACAAGAGAGAGAAAGAAACCATATTTTAGAAAAAGCAGACCTTTATCTGTCTGTTTCTTTTCTTAAATGATTAAGAGTGGCCCTTACAACCATACGATACTCTATCCTTTGGAATCCTTTTACGAAATGCGCTCTACCGTGAGGAGCCCATATCACTCAAAAGCCATTACATATGAATGGCATCATTATGAAGCCAGTGGCTGAGTCGCGATTGGCTGGCTGAAGTGTTCCACATGATTGGCGGAGAAGGTGGCGTGAGTTTTCTCGACCAATCACAGAGCGAAGCATGGCAAAAATTAAGTAATCCCGGTTTGTATTGGTTTTACTTTACTCTGCTCTGTGAAAAAAACTTGCGTCGCACTCTCAACCAATCACATTGAAAGCCAATATCAGTCGCTACCTGATCACTTGCGCTCCCAGCACTTCAAGCAGTGAGTCCAGGTTTTTGCTGAAAGTTCTCATCAGTTCCTCGTGATAATTACCTTGTTTCTGATAAGGCCTTGTGCTAACTTCAACTTTGATTTTACAACACCTAATTGAAACGAGTTATGAGAATCGTTCTTACGCTTGGCCTATGGAGCAAACGTTGTTTCACAAGATCTTCCACTGACTTCTAGCAAGGTGTAACACTCTCCTGTAGACTTGTAAAGGTAATCTTGATCCACTTCAGCTCAGTAGTTATAATGGTGAACTTTAAATTGATCGTAAAACGTAAGGTTTTTATTTTATTTTATTTTCAGCAAATTATAATTTGCAGTTCCCTCGGAACCTATAGACCCTATTTAGCAGAATATACACTAATTTGTTCGGTTGCGTATGTCTTCCTTAACTTAGCGTATATGCATTTGCATTACAGGAAGTCGTCTCAGCCATTAGATGTTGTAGCTATCGATCATTTCCCTTCCCTTCTACCGAGAGAGAGCAGCACAAGATTTGCAAATGATTCAACGCCGTATTTGCTGAAGTTAGATCAGGTAAAACGGCTCGATAAGCGTCTGTTCTTTGATCGGGACCGTCATTAAGTTATTTGGATGGTTTCCAATTTTTTATTTATCGAATCAGATTTAATATTAACAGTTAGCGGCTGTGTAAAATTTTAAATTTTATTCCATTCTCGCTGACTCTTTTATTGGGACTGTCATTAAGTTATTCGAATGGTTTTCTTTTTGTTATTTATCTAATCTATTTTTATTTATCAGAGTCATTATTGATATCTTCATTTCTAAGTACTTCTTATAACTAGCAAACTAAAAAAAACAATTTTATCTGTGTCTGGTTTTTTCCGGTCAAATTGCTATTTTCATAGCGCAAATCGGATCGCACTCCTTTAGGTGAATTCTTATGACTCTCGCCGTATATATACAGGATGTTTCGCAATCTTCGAGGAGAGCTATGCTCCAGAGGCCGTGTAATTTAGATCTCCTTCATTACAAAGTACTTACCGCGTTTGAGTTTGCAAAGAGTAAGCCAGCCTTTTCCAAATGTGCTAAAAATTCGATTTCGTGCGCCGCCATTTTGAAAACAACTTTATAAACAACTTTATTAAGTGGCTTTATTCTTGTGATACAATAAAATAACTCAACTATCATTTGTTTCTCTGTTGATAGGTTGATACGTACTGTGTGTGGGTGAATGCCAAAAAAATATTTGACCTGAAAGCAGCTGAAGCAGAGGATTTACTCTCACGATCTGGAAATTAAAGACTGAACTTCATTCCCGTAGATTTGAATGGAAATTAGCTGTTGTTTGGTCTTAGTTTAGTGAGACGAATGAGCATCGTTTTTCTACTGATGAACGGAAGAGTGATTGAGAATGAAACATGACAATTTTGTCATTGACCTTGTTAAACAGAGGAAAGTGATTATTGTAGCTCTTGTTATGGCGGGGAGGAAGGAGTTTTATGTGAGGCACTTTTTCCAAGGTATAACATCTTAAAGTTTCAAAATAAGATGCAGTGAGAACATCAGTTTGTAGAATTTTCGCGGTAGAATTTGTATTTTCTCCATAGCGAAAAAAGCTGTCAAGGGTTGTCTGCCAGAAACTGAGTTGACAAGCATTTGCTACAACTTTTGTCACCCGATCATTCACTGGCTGGTGCCGTTGCGGAGAGGCGATCGATGTAAAGACTGATAGACTAAAAGTGAACGATACGGCTATGTTCATCATTTTCCGAATAAATCATTTGGGGCCCCTGTACTTAGGCAGATGACTGAGTACAAAATATGGGAATATTGAGCCGTTTTCGTTTCAAAGTTGTTAAGCAACTCAGGAGATCTCGCTACGTGCGAAGCAACGACAACTTTGATATCGCAAATATGAGCCCTTCAAAACAAAATAGCAAAGTATTTTAAAAAAACACTCTAGTATCGTGTTTGTATTACACTTGTGGATCTAGAGTGAGTTCACTTCAGTATATTACTGTCAATTCGTCATCCTTGAATGTTATTATTTACCAAGATATGAGCATTATTGACCGAGTGTTTAAGTTATATTAGCTAGATGTTTCCAAGTTTTCTTGAAAGTAACCGAGTTAATTTTTTGTAAATTACCGGTGTACTAGGCACTTAGTCTTTGTTTTGCTAAAATATTGGGTCAGTACTCTGTATAATGTAAGTTGATTCTCCGCCTCCGGAAGAGCCCTTTCTACAATGAATTCATTCTTCAGAGACCGATTGCTTACAACTTGAAATGACACTTTAAACTTGCAACAAAATAGCAGCTGTCGGAGGAAAAATGTGAGGCTAACGTGTGGGTGGTCCCAGGTCAGTACTGTTGGTTCCTTGCCTTTTCCCGCGCGTTTCGCAGTTGGCTTGTTCCATTTTGCATTTCATTGGCTCCTTGTGATATATGTTTATCTTCTGATTGGCTTTTGCGATTACTTCAGCTCTACAAAAATTCGCTCTATACTACGCGGATGAGACGAAAGACCGAAGCAGCTGACTATGATTGCAAACTCTATAAACGTAGGGTTACCCGTTTCTTCAGAGACTATATACTTACTGAATTCTTTCGTTTCTTTCTTGTTGTTACCAATTTTGCTGAAATATGCACTATGGGAAAGTTTTGGGCGCTCTCAGCGTCAAGTAAACTTTTTTCAAGATCTGCGGCTCGGATTTTCGAACTAGAAGAACTGTTAGAAAACATGGTGTACCACGAAGACACAGCGCGTGATTAAAGAGTTTTCAGTGTTGTTTGGTATTTACATGCTCCGGCCTTTGAACGAAAGAGTGCTTGATTGCTGGAACCTGCGTAAGCTTAGCAACAAAATATCCCATCATTCCTCGGGGCTGTACTGGTTGCTCGCTTGTCTTGCATCACACCAGTTGGGACCCTCAAATGTTTATGAATTTTTTGGGAAATTACCTCCTTTGTGGTGGAAAATTTTCTGTTTCGTCAATGTGTGAAAGTCACGAATAGTATCCTTATTCGGTCTTTGCCTTACTCTATCAAATCATAATGGTTGTTCACCTGTGGTTGCGATCGGAACCGAAGGCAAATGAACGCCGGTCGGCGCTCTCACCTGAGAAATGTAAAGATCTTTTGTCAGCAGGTAAAACGACACGATCGTTCTGATTTCTTTTTACATTTTTGTTTCATCCCGTGGTGTGTGATTGCGAACTTAATCCTTGTGTTGTTAAATAAAAATTTACACTGATTTTTTGGTGGCCGGCCAGAAAGTTGACATCTTGTGATGACTTCATAATTTAATTTGCAAGCTGAAGATGTGCATAGCAGATGTCTTCAGAAAGAAACCTTAAGACAGTTTTCTTGGATAAAAATTGGGAACCTGATGTAATTTTCTTCCATGTTAACATATTTAAAATGTACTCTTTCTATTTTTCAGGATTTAAGGTTACTGTTGAATGTTCCAGAGACAGGGTTTTTAAAGATGAAGAGTATGCAAGGTAGGAATGGACTGGTGTGAAGAAGGAGTACACGTGATCTTGTCCTGAGATCATAAAGTGATCTACTCATTGAGTATGTGGGAGGCTTCTTTCCAGACTGACTCATGTTAGTCTTCCTGGCTTTACAAACATGAGCTCTCACTACTATGGTTTTCTATAAAATAGTGTTAGCATAACACAGTTTGGGTTATAAAAACACAATTAAAAAAAAGCGAAGTGGGTAAGTAAACAACCTCAGGTTATGATTGGACCAGTTATATCAATTAAATGCCATTAGCAAAGGACAACTTGACAATGCTACCTATTCTTGGTACCAACACAGTAATGATTCATTGTTTATAGGATCAGTGGAGTGGATATGGTTCCTGAAGGATCTTGGGTAGATGCCCCAAAAGAGGCTTTTATCTTGGGAATTAAGGAACTAGCAAAATCCTTGACTCCAATACCTCACACACATATTTACTTTGCTCATGCATACAATGTAAGTGAAGAGTAAAGTTATTAATCTTGATTGGACCAAAGTGTACAGTAAGCTAAATTTTGATATAACTTGCTCACATCTAGGAAATATTATTTTTCAGCAATAGGAAAGAGATTAGTATGACTAATTGTCACAACAAAATAATACAGAACCAACAGATAGTGCCTATTTATCAGACCTTACACTTCAGTTGATGGACAACTATGTTGAGAATGGCTGGCGCAGGATACACAATGCATTGTAGCTATCCATGTAAAGTGATTGTTAAGGAAGTACTTACCAAGGTGGTCCTTAAGTGGATTTGACTCTCTCTTTGACAAGAAAAAGTGAAATTTATTATGATGGAAAATTTTCTGTTCATGCCATGCCAGTTGGTTTACACAAATGATCTAGCATGCTCCCAAATACTGCTGAGATTCAGGTTAACCATGTTACTGGAAAATCCTATGTTGCCAAATTAATTTTGGGTGTCACATGTTGTAAATGAAGTAATGGTTTTGAAATTGAATTCCTCATATTTTACCTAGTGGTAAAGTTTTGAGGGAGTATATGAATACCTTGACTGGGGATCTTGGACACAAAAAAAGGGTAAGGGGGTTCATAATGCTTTATATTAGCACGTCTGATGTTTTTTTGGTTTATTAATAGAACCAGAATGGTTGGGCTGAAGTTCTTAATCGCTTCATCAAGGGCGGAGGGAGGATACTTGATGTGGAGTACATGACAGATGAATATGGTAAGTGAGTGAAGTTTGGTCTGGAAAGATCAAATTATTCTCTACATTTAATATAGTTGTTCTTGTTGTGTTCTCCATAGTCAAGGAACTCTTGTCAGATACACTTAAAACATGATGGTTTCTTTCCTCCTTTATATAAGTCATCAATACTAAAAGCAAGGTTTCATTGTGCTGTTTTTTACCAAGTAAAGATTGATAGAGTGTTTTCTTTTTTTTTTCAGACAGACGAGTAGCAGCGGCTTTTCCTCCTTTGGCTGGTTTTGCAGGAATGGCTGTTGGTATTAGTGCTTGGTGTCATCAACAAACAAGGTACAAATAAAATTTTGACTCTAATATATACTATTCAAGGCCTTGGGTCATCCATTTGTTCTTTGGTCAGTGTTTATCTCTTTGGTGGTCATGTCAAATGCTGCCTTTGCATCTACACATAACTTTTATTGGACAAATTTCCTATTTAGAGAAAGGTGACTCAAGGAATTTGCAGGGTAAAAAATCTATTAGGGTAGATAGTACCTTTGCAAAAACTCCAGTGTAATGATCACCACTGAAATCTTAGCTCTAGCAATCTTCTGGTGTGGATCAGTAGCCAAGTGAACCACAACCCTCACCCTTAGGTTTTCCTTGATGTAGGAATATCAATAACAGGGTACATCAGAGAGTTAGTACCTGCCTATGTTTACACTGGACAAAAAGTTTATTGTGGATGTCTTTCTTCCTCAAAACTTCTCAAGGCTCCCTCCAGTTTGTTATTAATCAAATTTTTTCATTATATATTAAGCAGAAAAACAATTAATGGACTGCACATCATTAAAGGACTTGAGTGCAGCATGGATTGAATTATTTTTCATACTAGGCTAATCTTGAACTGAGGAAATCAATTCCTCTCACACAAAGTGTTTGTATTGACAGTCATATATATGATATTTTAAGCCCTCAGATCACCATGCCAGCTATGAAGCCTTACAGCCATGAGTCACTCTTAATAGAAGATCTTAAGATGCAGCTCCAAGGTGCTGCCAAGACCAAAGGTACTTCCATGACAATATGAGGTTTTCTTTAAACTAAGATAAAAGTAAATTTTAAAGTCTTTTTTCCTAGGACTCCATGAATGCTACCCTCGTGTGATAATCATTGGTGCATTAGGGCGTTGTGGCAAAGGAGCCATAGATTTGGCACAGAAAGCAGGCATACCAAGGTATGAAACAACTAATGTCTGATCATTCTGAATAATAAATATTTCATGTAAGACATAAGCCTAAGGAGGAACTTGTAAAAATATTTATTTCATACATAGTTAGATTTACACTGTGAAGTACTATCATTTGTGTCTCTAATCCTTGGCTTTCTACTTTATAGTGTAAATCTCAATATGAATGAAATTTAAACATCATACTATGTAAAGTGCTTGACCTTTTTTTGTTCACTCATTGCAATGCATCAAAAAAACGCACTCTTTGGCTGTGGTCACTGGTTCTTTTTTTTTTCCTTTGTTTTTGGTTTTTTTTAATGCATCACAACTCATGAAGAAAATCTACTGGTGCGCACTTTCCATGTAATAATCTCTATTTATTCTGAGGATCATGTTTCCTTTACAGCTCATGTATTGCTAAATGGGATATGAAAGAGACCCAGCCAGGTGGACCTTTTGAGGAAATCCTACAGTATGACATATTTGTCAACTGTATCAACTTGATGAAGGTATGTAGTCAGCAATAAGAAAATTAATAGGTATAAGGAAGTTTAAGCCTACAGGTAAGTGTAAATGATATCACATGATCTTAAAGTAGGTCATGTCTGAAATTATTACTACTAGTTTACACTACATTCAACACAGCAGAACAACTCATTCAAAGGGGTGTTGATATGATCAATGTGTTTATTAAGATTTTCTTTCTGTTTGGCAATTGATATAGTTTAAGCGTTTTGCTGAAGTAAAAGGTTCATACATGTACTTCCTCAGGAAAAGAATGTTGGAAATTTTTTGTTGTATCTTTGGCTTTATGTTCTCTTAAGAGCGATGGCTTGGTAATATTGAAGGGAACAGGGAAGGGTTGGAGAATTTTTGCAAGCCTAAAAGATCTTCATGTATGCAGAGGAAAAAAACCACAACAATAACAAATATTAAAACAAAATAAACAAATAGAACAACCCTCAATTACAAAATTGTGGTTATTTGGTGACACTACACTGTATGATTCATGCAATTATTGTCTGACATACGTCGTAGGGCTTTGTGTTGTTTGTCATTCTCTCCACATGTCGAGTAAATTGAACTCTGTCAGACAAACAGAAAAGTAAAGAATGACCCCATCCTATAATGATGCAGTAATTTGAAATGTCATGTTGATTATAAATGAAAAGTGTTAAAGAATTTTCATGCGCCATTTTGTGACCTAAGTCCATTTTCCAAATAGTAGATGTGTAATGGGAGGACAGCTTTTTCTGGAATTTTTTTTCTCATTCATCAAATGTGAAGAAGATATAGCATGAAAGTTATTTCTCCATTTTAGTGTTGTTGTCATGAGTAAACAGCTCTAAACATTAAATATTTGATGCACACTCAAAGAACATTAAGTAAAATACATGCAATGAAAAGTTTATTGAGATCAATGTAGTGGACTATTTGACTGGATTGCTGCAGTTGTACTTGGGAAGTTGCGTTAGGTTGTGCAGCTCTGAAAATCAAGTACCATTGGGGCCAGCTCATGTAGAATGAATGTACACATGCTCGAGAGTGTTCTGTGCTTGACAGCGTTTACTTTGCAGAAAATTCCACCATTTATGACAAGGAAGGTGTTGGACACCGACCAGAGGTGAATTGTATCAGCACAGCGTTCTCAAGAGTGTTTTTACCTCACTAAGGCTTTTTCCATACAGGAATTGTGTTTTTTCCTTTCGCTTACAAATTGTTGAAAATTGAGGGGAACTAGCTGAGGTGGCAGGAGTATTTCTCAATCTTGTAATGTTGTGGGACAAGAATGATTTTCCATTTTATTAAGTAAAACCTCAAGTGAATTTATTCACCTTTTAAAATTCATTATGAACAGTGGTGTTTATCTGGCTTACATCAAAAGCTCTCTACACTCAAAGCAGTAAAGTAACTTTATTCAGTTGATGATATAAACTGTTCCAACAATGCCCCATCTCTTGATGAAAGATATGACAAGAAACACACAGACCCTCATTCTCTAATAGGACCAACTTCTGAATTGTCTAACTGGTTGAAATAGCATAGAGGGTGTTGACAAAACAGTATAAAGAAAGAGTTTGGAAACAAAACTAATGAAAAGAAACCGAAATGCAATTGAAAACTCAAGTAATTAATTTTAATTAATCTGGTTGCAGCCATGAAGCTCTATTGTTGACCTTTTGTTGTTTCCTTGTTTTAGGAAACTGTCTGTGGTGGTTGATGTGAGCTGTGATGTTACCAATCCAAACAATCCTTTACCATTCTGTGATTCTGTGACCTCACTACATCAGCCCTGTCGGACTCTGCAGTTAAGGTATTCAATATTGATTTGGCTGTCTCTCATGAAACCAGTGTCTTCCCAATACAAGGTGTCAATGTTGTATGGGGTTTGGAGATAAAGGTTTCCTGATGGCCCTAGTACTCCATGCTTCAGGAATTGGGAAAACTCCACTTGTAACAGATTATTTTGTGTGGGTATACTGTTCTTAAGATCTCATCTAGAAAATGATGGATTGAACTGACCCCATTTTTATAAAAGCCTAGCTTACTTGGCTAAGTTTCCATGAATTGATTTTTAAAATAACAAAGCAAGCACACAAAGGTTGACATGCATGGGTCTTTGTCACTGACAGACTAAAACTAAATTATCCTATTGTAACTGACTTATTGTTTCCTTTTGCAGTAACTCCACAAAGCCTTTGGATATTGTGGCCATAGATAACCTTCCTTCATTGCTTCCAAGAGAAAGCAGTATTCAGTTTGCTGATAGTATTATGCCCTATCTACTCAAGCTTCCAGAGGTATTTCCACATTACTTCTTTTTCAGCTATCTACCATTACTTGTTTGTTGTTATCATTCATACCATTCTGCCTTCAAATAAATTCAATTGGATGAAGTTGTTAAAAGTAAATTGTAATATTGTTTTCATTTTGTTGTTTTTGACCATGATATATCATATTTGACAAAAAAAACTTTTCAAGTTTAACTAAGTAGTCAAGCGTTAGTCTTGTCTTCTACCACACCAATTTCCACAGCCAAAATGCATTTAAATGAATTACAAGTTCTCAGAAAACATATTCAGTGGTTAAAATCCTATTCATACTAGGTTGCATGCAATTGATCCAAATGTGTCACATGACTTGATATGGTAGAACTGAAACTGGGGATTAATCCAGTAATTTTGCCCAGTGTTTTGAATCTTAGCTTATATATTAGTCTTTACTTTATGTTGCTTTGATACTTAGAATTGTCATTATAATTGACTATTTTTCTAGGTGAAAACTCATCCAGTGTGGGTTCGTGCTGGGAGAAAGTTTGATGAAAAAGCTGCAGAAGTCTTAAATCACCAAGTCAAATGTTAACTTGTCCTCAAATATTAGATTATTGGTAGTTTCTGACAAGTGACAAAGAAATCAATCACATGGTTGATACCAATGTTTAAGGTTACTTTAATTTTTTTTTTTTTTCAAAAATTCAGTTTTTATGATTGCCTCTATTCAATTTTCTCAAGATTAACCCTTCAACCCCTATGAGACCAGTATTGAATGTCTCAGTACCTGCATGAGACAGTAAGGTATCAGGAACAGAGAAAATGATTGCTAACTAAAGAAGCTCTTGATTGTTAAACAAATTCTCCTTGACAGCATTTTAGGAAATATGTAGAGAACAGTAGGGAGAATATGCATACTGATGTCAGGGTGTAGGGGGTTAAGCATATGTGAGTGGTAGAATGGGTGGAGGAATGAAAACAGTATTGACTTGAAGCTGAGCTTACACAATGCATGTGTTGATGAGATTAGCAACACAAGGAAAGCTAAATGCTGCATTCAAAAGTTACCTTGCTTCCCTTCACAAACTGGAAAAAATAATGTGGATATAAAATATACATATTTAATAGAAACAGACTCTCCTTTAGCAGACAGGTATTTTCAAATATTTCTTTCTTGAAAAATGTGACCAATACTTGCATACAAAGAAAATTTTAATATATTGTTGATCCTGAAACAAAATGAGTTGTACAGTGAATTTGTGATTCCAATTGATTCTTAATAAAATCTTAAATCCACATACAGACTTGACATAAAATTTTTTTTTTTTTGAAAGAAATCACTGAAAGCATTTTAGAATGATCCAAAAATATCTAACTAAAACTTTGGTTTTATTGTAGTGAGCATTACTTTATCATCACTAATGAAAAGAAACATAACATGGTTTTCAAATTTGTCTAATTAAATTCAATTGCACCTGTGTGCTTCATGTTCTCATTGTGCACATTGATTATGTATGAGCAATCCATAGAATAAAGCATAGAAGAGGGAACCTCTCAATAAACATTTAAACCTAACAAGCTGAAAATGCTACAAAACAATTGCATGTGTGTCAGCTATGGGTTCATCAAGGTATGCAGCATTTAGAATCCTTTCTCTCAGATCTCCCACATTTGTGTTTTTTTGTCGAACAAAGAACAACTTTCCCCATTTTTATTATCCCTCCCACCAATGTCTTCTCTCCCCAGTCAGCATAATAGTATCCCTTCCACAACTTCCTTCACCCACCAGTTAGCAGACATAGTGCAAGTGTGATACTAGAGAGTGGGTGTCCAATAGCATTTTAAACACTCCCATTAATAAGATTCAGTATTAATGCACAAATTAAAACTGCCACTAGAACTCATAAAGCTGATTTATTAATAAAGCAAGTTTTGTACGTGACAAAACAGAGGGTAGCCTTAAAACAACAGAATGGTTTTCAGACGTACAAACAGCAAATTGATCTGCTGTAATAGATAGAATTCACACTACTGGTTGTGAAGCAGTAAACTGCAGATTCATCTACTAGCTAGCATTGATGAACAGCTCTAAACAGTGCTTAACATTTTGCACCACCACAAAACGACTGCTGTCTAGCTCTGGGTCCAGTATCTGAATTTTAGTAAGAAACTTAAAACTATCAGTTTTGGGAACAGAAGGTATTCACCCTCTTGTGCGACTTGGCCATCCCTCGTTTCTGCTGCAAACTCTATGCCACACATTTCCTGTCTCCAAAATTAAGGAAACCATTTTTCCTTCAATGTTCCTTTTGGGCATCATGAGTGGTAACATACTCTGCTTGGCTATCTTATAAGTGATCTTGCAGCCATCAGCAACATCTTAAGGGAGCGCTGCATGGGCCCTGATGCTTCATTGATGGTTGTTTGGAGCTGCTGGCATAGTCCCTCTAACACACCAGGCATATGTTCTCTTGTAATGGCATCTCGTGCATCCAGGGCCATAAGAGCTTCTTCGATGTATCTGTAAATTTAGAAGGAAGAGATTTAGAGATAAACATGAAATAAAAAAACAGTGATAAATTTGAATGGAACAAAGTACACTTGAAATAGAAAATTGAATTATCCTATTTTTCTGGTTACCAAAGTACCCTAGATTAACTATGAGTGACCTCATTCCTGTTTAAATCATGAGAACACCCTTTCAGCATCAATCATTGTCATGGTCAGAGAACACATCCACAAGTTACTTACCCAGTACATGGCACTTATGGAGTACACAGACTATGTTCCATTATACCACTCCTGCATTTAGCCTAACTACACAGTATGTTGCTAGTACTTACTTGTGCTTAAGATCCGTATACATTGCAAGATCCACAGATAGTTGCTGTATTAAAGACAGCAAGACTGGTTGTGACAAAGGACAAGGGGACTGGGAAAAGACTTTCTCAGGATCCACATTTTCACAAACGTACATCACAATGTTTAGATCTCCTGCTGTCAGGGCCTGAGAGGTAATGTTGCAACATGCATGTAAGTATTATGAAACACTGAAATTCAAAAGAGGTACTGTAAATGCTATTATAAGGCCCTCAAGTGGGTGGGGCTGAAATCTAAACTGGAAACAAATACAATTTTTCAATACTCTTTTACAAGGACATTTGTGATAAAAAGTTGCCAGGCCATAGAGAAGAATAGTACTGTGAATTTACTGAATGAGTGGAAGAGATGGAAATTATTTGGCTCCAAGAGCCCAACATTTTTCCCTTGGACCTAAACTAACTCAGTAATAAGATTTTATCATGTTCCACTCCAGCTCCTTGACTTTCTTCCTTTTTTCGAGCATTCTGCATCTCCAGGGGGTGTATGAAGGGCACTGTGGCTTTCCAAGGCCCTGATCACACTGTCACTTACAGCCCTGATTTGGAATTTAAATCCCCTCATACACTGGGACATAAGGGTCATGTGATAACTTGCTTTGAATCATTGTTATTCTTATAATTGTAACCCTAACCCCAGGTCTCTTTCTTAGCATTTTTGTCTACATACAAGTAGAGGAGGAAAAAATGGTGTTTTTTAAGAGGATGAGAGCCTATCAGTGCATTTATATACAGTAATAATGAAATAGCTCTATCTTGAATATCACAGAACCTCTTGGAAGGCCTCTCCAACTTTTCCAGATTCCAACAGCCTGGAAACTGCAGCCTGCAGAGAAAAGAATTAATATGTCTCTTTACACAGTTCTGTTCATACTCTCTTCATGAGCTATTAATGTCACATACAAAAACAAGAGTGATTTCTGAACATTCTCCACAACATCTTATCACAAATTACCATAGACTAAGAAAAGTGTATATGGTATTAAGGTTATCTTAATGCAAACAGATTTCATCTTCCCAACTTTTCCCATAACTCAATGAAAACAGAGGCATATAACCTTGGTTAAATGTCAGAGTCAAAATCAATCAATAAATAAATGTTAGCATTTGAATGAGTATCGGTAGAAAGAAACTTGCCTAGGATCATGTATTACAAAAGGTGTTATTTTACATTTTGGAGACCAACAGGAAAATGGGTAACTGTAATTGTTACCCTTGAAAATTCATATTTACAACCAACCTGAGTTTGTGCAGTACTAGGAGACTGTTGTGAGGTATTTTGTGCTGAAGATGTAATCATTTCACTCAATTGTTGACGTAGGCCTTCCAATCCTAAGCCCATTTCCTTTTGCACTGAGTCCTGGACTGAAGCCAGAACTTCAGACAACAGACGTGAAAATATCTCTTCACGCAAACTATGAAGAATCCAAAACAAGGACAGTTATATTACATTCATTGGATATGCTGAGGTGAAAATTTATTCTTCTTTGTTTCAAAATCATTAACAAACCATACCCAAAAAACAAAGTAGAATAATATCTACAACATAAAAAAATCTTTATTTAAGGAAACTTAGGCTATCTAAAGTATTAAAAAATATCAGCTTTATCTTACACAACATTTTGCTGACAATTTTTCTTTCCTGAGTGACACTTGTTTACCCAGATTTTGTTTTCACTTTTTTTATATCAACTTACAATTCTTCCAGTTTGTACTCTAAATCAGATTACAACCCACACACATACCAAAGAGTTAAAAGACCACCTGTTTAAAATTTACATTTCATCACAACCATAGTCCCATAAACATCACCAGTCAACAAACATGTTGAGATTTCCCAATTTTGCACCTAGCCTTTGACCAGCTGGATTTTAAAACATTGGGATTTATTGTGTCAGTTATGTTTCTTATTTGTTTTTATTGTATTGCTGTCCCTAATTTTGGTATATAACCTGTAAAACAAAACAGATATTTTGCTCCAGGTCTACCGTGTAGCAGGACAGAAAATGGTGGTGGTTCTCAGATACTAAAGTCAACCTCTTGAGACCAAAAAACGATCATCTGGCACTTTTCACACACATGTTCGTGTTCTTTGTCACTACTCTTTACTTACCCTTCTATTGATGATGACAGTTGTTTCTGTATCATAACTTCAAAGTCAGCCATAAGGTTTGATGAAAGCCTCTCTGTTGTTGCTTGGAATGATTGCTTTTGTGATTCCAACTGTCTCATTACAGGTTGGAAAAAATCTTTCTCCTCTCTTTTACGGTTATCCAGAGCTGTTGTAACCTGTTGCAGGTCTTCAAAATAGAGTTTATGTCAAAATAAAGTGAAACCAATGAATCAAAGAGTGCACAAATTTGGCATTTAGCAACAGTGTGGTCTAATAAATGTATTAAGTACAATTGTCCATGAGGAATTGAGCTCTAAACTATAAAGACAGCCCAAAAATTGTGGTCAAAGTAAACAATGTCATCCATTAAATTTCAGTTCCAGAAGCCTACTGTTTATCCACACTCTTTCAGACAAGCCTAAGCAAACTGGTGGGGACAGTCTAATGAATAAAAAACCTCAATCTTTCACAAATTTCCTAAGGACACTCAGCACAAAATGGTCGAAATGCCACATTTTTAAACCTTACAGCCAACGGTATCCCATTCTCCTTTGCAATTTGAGAACAATGCTAGAAACATTCAGAAAAGCTGCAGTATTTATCAATATTGTTTGAGTAAGGGGAAAAAGGATGGAATGCTTTAATGAGAATAATTTATAAAAATAGTACACATTTCATGTTAGTATGCAACTACTAGCGTTCTATCTGGCTGACTACACTACTCAATATCTCTTCTTTGGTAGATAAAGAGTGGCCTAGCATTGTGCCTCCGTGAACAGAATAAAAGAAAAAAATGAGCCTGTCTTGTTGCTATGGTTTGGAAGATTAACACATTCTTAACAAATTACTTATCAGCAAACTATCATGCAATAGAGACTGAGAGCAAATTATCTAACAGTTAAATAGTGTTTGGAAAATTAATGAGGCTGTCCAATAACTTTTGACCAGGATTGTTGGTACATACTACAGTTAACAACATACATTGTTGAGTTCCTTTATGAAATGATTCATTTATCTGTTGGAACATGTTCTGGCATGCCCTCTCAAAGGATGGCAAAATGGTGCTCTGAAATGCCTCACGGTAAGTTACTTGAATGGGTCCCTGAAGTGCACTTGCTGCCGCTGTACCAATAGCATCAACAACACCCTGTTTGAGGATAAAAAAAAAACCTGTTGTTATAGTAAAATTGTGTTTGTTAGGGACATGTAGAGCTTACTTTTCCAGAATTCTTACATCATTTGCAAAGATTCAATGCTCTTTACTACTTTACAGAATCAAGTTCATGCCTGCCTTTGAGAACTATTCCTAGCTAGAATCAAATAAAAAATTACAGCTACATGTATTTTACCACATCCCAGTCATTTGGTACCAACCAGACCAGCGTCAAAAACAAATAAACCAAACCTTACCTTACTTTTCACAATTTTTGCAACACTATCCTTCAATACAGTATCTGCTGCAGTTAGTTTCTAAAGAAAGGGAAAGAAAGCCTGTCAGAAGAATCTGTATAACAAATCTTCTTCAACTGACATGTGCCATATATTGAAAACTTTAAGCATGTAAAGAGAAAGTATGGGTGATAGATATCTCTAGCTTTTTTCTAAAAGCCACTCCTTTAGGGTTGCAGCATTGTGTGGAATCGTGGGCAAAGGTAGCATTTCAAATCTTGCACCAAATGACACACTAATTCACTAAAAATACATTATTTCCAACATACCTGCCCTAATGTAGTGTTGAGTTGTTCTTGCACAGCACTCAATACTTTCTGAACTGATGGTACTACAGCACTCTTAATTTCAGCTTTGACAGATTTATCTAATTTTCCTGACAAGGTAGTGGTGATTGTTTGGGACAAAGTACTCTGTAGTTGTTCATGTCTTTTTTTGTCTCCTGAATGTTTGTCACGCAGAGCTTTGTCTAAACGCTGAGCTGAACAGCTTGTCAAAGAAACTTTAAACTTGGTAATTATATCAGCCACACGGTATTTTCATAAGGGTTCCTCATTTTTGCACCTGAGTAATGTTTTATGATTAAAGTAACATAACTCTACATTTTTTTAAATTTTCCATTTAACCCCTCAACACCTCAGAACAAAGAGCCAATTTTGCAAAACAATAACCATGCTTCTTGATGCTTAATTTGGTTTTGTAGACAAAAAACATCACTGGTTGAAATTTTCCCTATGCACATGATAGCATTTTGACCCCCAGACCATTGAATGCTTGTCTCATTATTTTGCTGAAGATTTAGCACAGAGCAACAATCTAACAGAAATCTAAAGTTCTAGTAACATAGAACTACTTTTAAAACAATTTCAAGCAGGATACATTCTTCACGTGAAAATTCAGCCAGGGCATTCTGTAATTTGGAGGAGACTCGCTCCTCAACCTGATGTACTTCATTGACCACTGTAATCATTTTCTGCTGCTGATCAGACTGGTATGTTTTCAGCTGCTTACGAAGGTCGTAGATATCTTGCTGTTGAGCTTTGAGCAAACTCAGAAGCTCTTCAAGAGATGAAGAAAGACCACCATCCTAAACATTTTATAAAAAATTTCAATTAATGAAATTACTCAACTTATCAGTAGTAAATAGAATAAGAAAGAAGATTAATTTTGAATGTGGTAAAGAAATAAAGAAAGATATTTTTCCTTGTTACAAGCGTGGGACAAAGAGTCCCCATGAGGAATGGACAGTCAGACCTTTGGATTCTGCAGACTTTCTCCATGGGAGAAGCAGAGGAGATACACTTAGAAGCAAAACTTTTAATGAGCACTTGTCCCCAGTCCCTCAATAAGCACTAAACATTTCAACACCAGTAGAGCACATGGTTGAAACTGAATTAAGTTTCCAAACATTCTTGACTGTCTTGTTTGCTTTCAGCATTATCATTACCAATTGAAACTAAATTTCAAGCTTCAAAGATGCACAAAAACAGAACCTCGAAATTAATCAAACAGTGCATCTCAGATCCTTACCCTGAATATGGGACTAATAAATAATGCTAATCATTGATAAGTTAGTTAAATTAAGAGTTCAGAGATTTCTTACCATTGTAACTTGGACCTGCTGGGGAGGAAGATCTGTTGTACTTACAGGAGTAGAAACAAAACTAAAATTGAAAGAAAAGAATACAAAAAAATGAAAGTTAAAACTTTTCATTTGTGTAAGAGACCCAGAAAAACTCTCAAACAGCTTGCTGTGTGGTCACCTTACCACCTAGTTGCCATCTCTTTCATCCACAATCTCTTAACAGTTAAGAAAATGGACAGTCAAAGACTGTGTGTGGCTACCAATATCACACAATTTTTATAGCATTGGAAAGAACCAGGGTGGCATACTGTTGCAGGAGCTAGCTCAAAAGTCTCATGTTTTCCCTATCCTCTGGGATCCAACAATGATTACCTATGCTCCTATTAATTTTGTTATTTTATTGCAATTCCCTTTTTTGAGACTTAAGTCTCATAACAAATGGCACTCCATGTTTTAGGATATTTGATCATTCTGCATCTTAAGACATTCCGTCATTTGCTCTGACCAAGAGCTAACCCTTGACAATAGCCAATTTACATTACCAACTCAGTTAAAAAACTAAAATTATCTTATTACATCCTATATTTACTCTGGTTAGTTTAGATAACTGTCTAAAGAACAAGCTTCAATCTACACAAAGAACTAATTTACCTTGACAATGCTGAAGGTCGTTTTCCAATCTCACTGTAGCCTGTTGGTGTACCAACCGGCAGTGCATGTGCTGATTCAGGACTCTCTCGTCCAGTTGGTACCACTCCATCATCGCCATTCATATCCCACTGCTCCAACAGTCCTTCCTCTGTAAATGCATCCTCCCCATCTACCTGAACATCATCTTCTTCACCCCTCTTATCATCTTCCAAACAAATAAGATTTCCTTCCGCACGAGCAGACAAAGGTCTCAAACTTTCACTTGTACTAGATCCAGAACTTGATTTTCTTTCCCTTTCATTTTCCTCCTCTAGCGTTTCTGCTTCAGGTTTCTGAGACTCTGGTAATTCCTCATCACCTCCATCCCTAGTATCATCATCAACAGATACTTCAATGTTTCTTTCCATGCTACCAGGACTGTGTGATCTGTTCTGTTCATTAGCAGATGGACTCTTTGAATCACTTAAAACATTCTCTGCTTTATCTCTCAGTGCAAATGGAGAGGCTTGAGTCTCCGTATTTGAAATAGCTACCAAAGGCTCGAAACTTGATGCAGGACTTTGTGTGTTTTGAACTGATGCCATTTGTGGACTAGACTGAAAGTTTAAAATGGGTATTGCACTAGGGTTAGATGTTGGTGTTACAGGTGACTGGGGCAAGGGCAAGGTTGTTGGTGTGAGAATACCACTCTCATGAGCCAAAGATCCTTGAGGTGTTGCCGAGTTGCTTGACCTGACAGTAGTGTCAGACAGTCTTGATGACACAGATGAGCCCAGAAGCTCATCAACTGATGCTTGCGAGTTATTCAGTCCAGAGATCATGGTAATACTGCTTCCATTGCTGCTGTTTACAGCTTCAGGGTGGGTTGACCCTTGCAATGCAGTGCTTGCAAACGCCTGTGGTGTAAGTAGTTTTGTTCTAACTGGAACAGGTCCATCTGTACTCTCCTCAGGCTCTTCAACATCTGTACTTGCTTCTGTTCCTGTTTCCATACCACTTAGGTCAGAGAGTCCATCATGGATAACTGTGTAAAAAATATAGGCAGATCAGATAGTTATTACATTTTTTCAATGCAAATGGGGAAGCATGGGAAGAAGTCTCCAAACTTCCCCAGTGCTTCACATCTTTATGAATACACAGCTGATGCATGAATTGAATATTTATAAGATTTCTAACAGAGGTTAAAATATTTTAGAAAGATAAGTTCCTTACTCCTGATTCTCAATTCCACGCAAAGCTAAAAAGTAGACATTAAAACCATCAGTATTAACAATGGGAAAATGAAACACTATCACACATACTGTACACTGTTGAACTAGATTAAAAGAAGGTACCATCTATGTTATAAACATAATCACTAGGGAAGACTCACCAGACTGCCCTGCAACTGTGGTAAGAGATGAAAGAGTTGATGGAGTGGGTGGAGGAATAGAAGGCTCTGGTTGGAAGTGAACCAAGAGTTCTTGCATTGATCTTTACAGAAACAAAGATAATCATTCAATACACACTTCATTCTAGCCATACTCAAGATATACTTAATCCTTAATTTATCAATTCTTCTAGAGTTAAAGAAGAGGATCATGTAATGCAGAAGGAATAGATGTAGCCAAACCCACCATGTAGACCCTGGAAGGCCAAAAACACAGCATAAACCCAAGATTATCATTAGTGCAAGGAGACAAACCCTCTTCTGGCACCCATAGAGGAAAGAATATGAGGTCAGTTGAACAAGGACTCCAGCAGATAAGGTGGTAATGAGAGAAATGGAGCTCAAAGCCTGTGACCGGATGGAGTAGAGAAGAAATACGGATGCCATGTTCTCCACACAGCAGTGGAGGGTTTACGAGAAAGTTTTTCAGTTCCCAATAATCTCTTTAAGACTCCCCTTACAATTGTTCCAACTTCGAAATTGGTAGGTATTAGAATCGCTGTCATGCAAAATCTGACTTTTCAACAAACACAATTAAAAAGGGAAAGCAAGGCCATCTTGAATCACCAAGAAAGACAAGGTTTGTTCTTACATTTTACATCTTCATAGTGAAAATTAGTTCAGACTCTAGAGGTAAAGCTTTACATGTAAATCTCTGGAGACTCAAAATGATGACTGCATGATTAAGGTTCCCTGGGAGTCTTAAACTAATCCTGTAGGAACACTGATGAAGGTAACACCTTGTAACAGCTACACAAAGAACAAACTTTACCTTGTTTGAATGCAAAAGAGCTGCAGTTGAACACCATACTTTTTCCCTTTCTCTTCTCCAGCAGCTATTTCGTCAAGACCAACATGCGAGGAGTGAATATCATCATCACCATGATCATGGCTTTCAGCATTTTCCTGACCATTCTGATCCCCTTGTGACTTGAGTTTAAACAACTTGACTTGGCCAACAATAAAACTTAGTAGTGGATGTGTGAGATGAAACTTAGCCACAGATGTGACATGTGCTTGGCCTTCATCAAAATTTTGGTGGAACATCAGCACATAAATAACCTGTTGGTGAGAGAACAGACAACCAGTAAAGCTTGGGTTTTCAGTCTTAAAGGCCAACAAACCTCATGGCTCAATAGAAGTGTGCAAGAAGACCAATTTAGGGCTGACATACCTTTTTAAGGACATCTGAAATTACCAAATATGAAGCTGAAAGGTCCATGCCTACTTTCAAGTATGAGCGAATGGAGCTAAAGAAAAGGTTTAGAGGAGGAAAAAAAGCTCCTTTAAAAAGGCACTTGTAAAATTAAGATAAAGTAAACATGAGCTCTTTGTTTATTCATCAAATATAAAAATTGTTGACATTTCATTACATAGTAATGACCAATGGAAGGCCATCTGACAGGTTGTCTGAGACAGACATACAGAAAGATGTACTGACCAATTGAGAGCATGCACTTATCACTATTTGGCTATGTACAGACATTTTAAATAACAGAACATGGACAACAGCCAATATGAAAAAAAAAAACAGAAATTCTTTATGATCCAGTAATACAATAGCATTGGAATTATAATGAAATGACACACCTGGATCCTGGAATATCTGGAGAAGAAAATCTGCAAAAAAAAAGAATAAAGACCAATTTACTAATTTAGAAGTATACTTTTATCTCCAGTACCAATGAATAATTTACAGAGCACTAAACTCCCTAAGCTAATCTATAAACTGGGATTACATATACCTGATTGTTTGTAAACATGTCCATGTAACTGTGCACCAGACTTTAATCTCTCTGTTATAATCAGCACCTGTGATTAAAAATCTCCACATTGGAAGCCTGCAACAGAAATTGCATCATGTCATTGTTTGTTCTGTGATGGACTGATTAAATATTAAATAACTCAAAATCAAGTTAAAGAAGAATATTACCTTGCAAACTTGTTTCTAAAACAAGGTACTTTTTGTTTAATCAACTGAGTTGTTAGGGTAAATTGGGCACCATTAAGAGTTTCAAAGCTGACGTTTTGAGCACTATCCCTTTGTCAGATGCTCAGACAAAAGCCTTGCTGTCCAAACATCAGCTTTGAAATTCTTTAAGGCGATGGCCAATTTACATTATCAACTCAGTTGATAAAAGCAAATTTATCTTTTTATACTCACCCACCCATGCAGCACCATAGTTTCCTAGAAAACTATCCCTCTTTATTAATTTGTTCCCAGGGCAGTTTTTTTAATAAAATGGACAATTTTTTTGGTTAAGATTGTTTTGTTTAGGACAGGGATTTTCTGGGAATAACTTCCTTTCACTTTAAACCCAAAAGGTTGGTTTGTACTTACCCACCACCCCTGAGTAAATTGTGGAGAAATCTGTACACAGAACAATTTGCTGATATGACTATTTTACTACACTGCTACAAAATGTGTTATTTTGACCTTTACACAAGTCTAGAACAATACTGAACAAAAATTATTGCATCCTTCTTACTCTTTGTCTTGAGAAGTCTGATTGTCAGTAAAAATCATACAAGACAGGGGACGTCCATCATGAGGCTGGAATTCATGCATGCACTCAACTTTGTCTGTCAACTGCCAAAACTTGATGTGACCATCTTCACTGGCAGTTGCTAATACTGTACCATCAGGTGAAAGAGCACCTTCTGTGATTGGCTAAGAGAATAGTTTTTTAAAAGTTTTCACTATGAATGAAAAGACTTTCTTGATGACTTCTTTCTCCCATTCAAAGTGTAAAACTAGATAAAGGATACTGAACCATTGTAGGGTCCATTAATAAAGTATATCATTGCTAATTAATTGCTAAAATCATAGATGCATCTCATGCATACATGACAGCAGTAAATTTAAAATCACAAAAATTTAAACTTTTGCACAAACTTGACCCCACATTATTGAATTCTTGTAGGAAGTTTTTCTACGTAAAATTTAAACTACTTTGTCTCAACTGAGTGGTGGAATCTACTTGTACCTCATTTAATATTTCAGTCAGACACAACTTCAATAAAAGGAATTCTGTGTTGTTTTACTAGAGGCAAACACCACCACTCTTGCAAACAGTTTTCTGTTACACAACAGAGTAATAATACTTTGCAACATCTAGATGGAAAGTGCCTCATTTTGTTGGGATTCAAAGACATCATGAGCTTATAATTCATATGAAAAGTTGTCTAGCCTGTGATAGAGACATAATTTCTAGTATCTTTTCAACATGAAACTTTGCAAGAGATCTTGTCCTGCCAACCAAAATATTTTAAGAGATTTACCTTAGTGTGTCCATCTGTAATTTCTAAATATCCTACTCCTTGCTTTATATCATCAATAGTCACTTCAGACCTGCCACACCATTCAGTCAGAGAATCTACATCTATTACCTCCAACTGATAAAAGCAGGTTTTCAAAAAGAGCAAAGTTAGTGCAAAACTGATATTGTTGAAAACATAGTTTTACACAAATATCATTTTGATTGCCCAATTAACATGTAGTTTTAAGTGATTTCAAACTACTGTATTTTGATTATTTTGTTGGTCCCACGCAAATATAGGCTCTGTAAAATAAACTCTGTATTTCAAGAAAACAAAACAGTGACCCAAACTAGGGCTCCAACCAGACCTCTGGAAAAGAGCATGGACTACAAGCCATTAGGCTGTGACATCCCCCTAGACATTTCAAAAAATGTCATCAGAAATGCTGAGAGGACTTTGATCTAACAAGCTATAGATTTTACTTGCAAGGTGAAGGCTTTCAACTGCAGTTACAAATTACAGTGTATTTTGTCCAACAGAAGCACTACAGTGTTTGCAACTCTGCCAAAAATCTAAATAAAAAATTGATAATTTTTTTCCAGTTTAGGCTTCTCTCAAGGTGTGTGTCATAAAAATAAGCAAGATAGTAATGCACCTGATTTCCATGTGTAATGGCCAGTGGTCGGCCTTCTTCAGCGGCAGACTCTTCAGTTCTTTCAAGTTCTTCACCATCAGGCATGTATGGAGTCCATATTAGTCTGTGGTGCTCAGAGAGTGTATTGGTAGGACGTTTGATATGAAGCTTCACAGAATATCTTAGCAATGGATTAAGGTAAACTATAGGTACACTTTTTTATTGAATAACTGTCATTGCTGACATGATATTAAGTAGTTTGCCATTGTTCACCAGCATTGGTTTAAATCCATCACCTCTGACCGTAACATCATACTACAACGCCTCAATTAGGCTTTCTACTCTTTGGATAAAGTTCTTATGGGGTACAAGAATTAACTTTACTAGAGACCAAGTGGTTATTTGTGATCCCTATTTACTACAAAAAGGTAGAGTACTCAACTGCCAAAAGTTAACTCCATTGGATAACGATAATAGCTATGTTAAGAAAGGATACTCGAGTTTTCCATTTTTTTCATGGATAACCCAGATATAAACATTACCTCCCTCATCTACACATGCCAGCATATTGGAGTCCTTGTGTGAAAACGCTAACTCGCTTATTGTACCAACAAATCCCTTGATCAGTGTCCTAGTGGCTGTCTCAGGATTAAGAAGCCTTACAACATAGCCTAGACGGCCTGAAATTATTTTAGAGAGCAAAGAATAATTGACTCACAAAACTGATTTCACTTAATAAAAACTAGGAACTTAAACGTTCAAACATTTTCTTTCTGTTACATTAAATATGCCATCAATCACTTTCATAAGAAACATTTTAGAGCTATTTGTAGATAGAAAACCAACCAAAATCTGTCCATCAAAACTCAAAAAATGAACTGGTGAACCCTTCTTTCCTGAAAGGCCTGATATGTGATAGAAGGCACTATGAAACACACCTTTGAATTATGCATTCCCATCATAAACTCCACAGAATACATGTCATTGAAATGGAAAAGTCTCTGTTTCAGTCACATATTCTGTTCATTTCGGCAATAATCTAAATCCTGAAGAACAGATCTTTTAAAATGAGGTGAGAGTTTCAGACTGAGATACTCATTGTATTTATTTCTTTTTTGACAAGGTGCTTTCTTTTTAGCCAAAGAAAACTAAGCCAATGCTCACTCACTTTACAATCAGATACTGTATGCTGGCAAGAAGGCTAATTTTACTTCAAAATAAACAAACCGAACCTTACATCTTCAACTAGCACTACTTAGCAAATACACATATAGACTGAGGCAGCTCTACAATTACCTCTAAGAGCATATGCAATGCACTTGCTGCTAACTGCTAATAGACATCCTCTGTAGTACTTCAGCTCCCACTCATAATTAACCATGGAATTAAATTTTATCTGTGAAAAATAAAATTGGTCATTAACCCTATTATCAGTGCACAAATTCTCCACACTGTTCTCTAAACACCTCCTTTGTGCTGACAAGGAGAAATTGTTTAATGGTCAAGAGCTCCTTTAGTTGGCAATAATAAGCAATTATTGGATGAGGTTGAGAATGATATCATAAAGTATCAATGCCAAGGTCTAAGTTATCTGCCAAAGCCAGACATGAAGTTTGATAATTCATTTTATGATGCAAAAACCAAATTCAGTAAATGTTTTATTACAATTTTTTCTAAAACAAACATTAAAAAAAGACACCACTCTGAGTTCGCAAAAGTTTGAGAACACTACATGGACAAGGGCTAAGAAACTAGGCAGACTTTGAACTTGAAATGAAAACCCAATATGTGCTGCAGATATTTGGTTATCATGAGAACTGATCATGCTATGTTCAGTTCAGCAGTGACACTGTAAGGGGAAATTAATTGTAAGTCAATCATAGACTGAGTCATTCAGTCATACACTGGAGTACTGAACTGAAACTGATAATCCAACCACCTCCCTGTTGTCTAGAGTTTCAAAAGGTGACTTTTTCAAGGTTTAAAAGTTTTAAAATCAATTTGGTGTTCATTTTCCTTTGATTCAGACTACAATTTTAAGGAAGACAAAACAAAGGGAAAATACTCAAAGTGTTTAAAAATCTAAACCAATAAAAATTTGAATGAACATTTGTGTTTAATAGGTAACAAGAGGCAGTAAGCTTTGATAGTTAGCCAAAAGGATTTTACAGGTTAATTCAGTTGTTGACCAAGAAAAGCAACAAGAATGCATAGCACATCAGAACCACTCAAATGTTAGTTAAGTGTCTCAATGTTTAACTTCATCCTCAATTCTTAAAATGGAAATTGTGGGAAAATTGAATTTCAAGCCAGTTGAGGAATTTTTTGGAGACAATCTACTTAAAATAATAGACAAAATTTACCCTCGCTTGGAAGTTAAAGGGTTAAATGATCTCACCTTATTACTAGCTGTGTAACTTGTTGAAACTGCTTCATCAGATACAATTTCAACTTCATTTCCGTAAACTGATTTACTGCCTCCATCATCACTGCCTTTCATCTCACTGAAAAGTACAATTGAAAATCAATAATTAACTTCCACAGTATAAAAACTAAAGAGTAAGTCATAACCTTGAAGCATGTGAGATCCCTTTACATAATTTAGAAAACAACCTAAAGTTTAAAAGCTTGACTCCTCAAAGGCAAATATGCTTTCTTGCCCAAATATGAAATTACAGTTTGAGCAACATTTCATGTCATAAAATCTTGGCAGTTAGTTACAGGTTAGATTTTTTTGTTCCTAGGTTACTATCTAGGGTGTAAATTGAACTCACATTGCATGCACTTTAGTAAAGCAAGTTTGTGGTTTCTATTCTTCCCTAAATGAAAGCATGCTCAGCTCTTGAAACTACATTTAGCTGTTTCTATATCATAACTACCCTTGATTGATCAAATTAAATTCCAAAAATCTACAATTGCTTGTTATAGCACTGTCTACATCATCATCATGAACACATCAATCAATTCATATTTGAGACAAATAACTCCACTTTGAAGACTAAACTCTGATTGTTTAGTCTTACACTATAATAAATCCCAGCTTTGTAACAGGCTTACAAATGATGCGACTGAAGGTTATCTGAATCTTGCAAAAATGAATGTTTAAATTTAAATCTGAAGGAAACAAGGATAAGCTATTAATCAGCTAGTAATAATGTTCTAAAGCAAATCAGTGACTTACATGACTTGTTTGACAGGTTCGAGGGACATTCTTGAAGCAACACCCTCACTGTCTGAGACAGACACATCAGACATCTGTTCCTTTGAGTTTCTCTAAAATTGTGCAATACCATGAAATGTGAAATGGAGCACTGGTACATTGCATTTAATAGATGTCTTCATATTGCTTGCTGAACATAGTTCTTCAATATTTGATAAGTCTTCATATCACTTGTTGCAAATAATTCTTCATTATTTGCTACATTCGTTACTAGAATGTTATGTCTGAAATGGCTGTTACAACAAAGGAAAGTCACTTTGTTTGAAAATGCACTTAGTTTGAGTAACTGGTTAAGACAAATAAGATTTTGTCCATTCACTTACCTTTCTTTGAGGAGACAGAGAACTTGCTGTAGATGCTGATTCACTGCAACATCAATCAAATAATATAGTGCAAGAAGATTACCATGGATCACACAACACATTCCTTTTGAAAATGCAAGACCAAAGTCATAGGCATAACACATTTAAAGAATCATTGATGGCTATTTATACAGGGTTTGAACCTTTTTCAGAAACAAATTTCAAGGACTTTTCCACAACTCAGATTGATTTTCCTAGGACTCCAAATTTCACTTAAAACCCTTTCATTCCCAAGATTTCAACATCAATTCACCCTACAATAATGAGCCAACAAACCTGTATTATACCTGAGCCAGCACCTCATCTAGCCAGTGGCAAGATCAAAAGGGAATTTGTGCTTTGAGAAAACTTTACATGACTTTGCTTAGCAAAGTCAAATCCACAAACCCCTACAACATTGAGATCCTGAACTAAAACTGTAGACAAAAATTGCTCTAAAACAAACTTTTGGCTAGAGTCAAGCAGATTTCCCAGACTTTCCAGGACCGTTAATCTTCTTTCAGGACTTCCAGGTCCTGGAAAATGCCAAAATAAAATTATAGGACTTTCCAAGTTTTCCAGGACCAATATGAACCCTGATTATACCTTCTACAAGGCTGCTCTAGTCTACATGCATAATGAAATTGGTATGGGACTTCAATTTCAACAGGTGTCTGAAGTATGAGTTGTAGTGTAAACTTCTTTCATCTTCTTCTATCTCAACTGGGGTGCCTAGTTCCATATTAGATTGAAGATGTTTCAAGTGTCCTCCTTACAGTCAATAAAAGTTTTGAAGGGGTTACACAACTAACTCTGTTCTTAAGCCAAGTGACAAAACCCACCAAGGCTTTTTTAAAATGCATAGAAAAAGGGACTGTAAGAATTAAATTTCTTGCTTAAGGACATGACAAAATATACTAGCATTAGCTCTAATCCAGAGGTCTAAATCTGAAGAGAGGTTACAGACCATTACACTTCTGTATATCACACATCCAATGTGGTAGATAATGTTAAGGAACACCCTCTAAACATGTTACTGTTCTGATTTCCACTCCAGCATTTACTTAAGGTGCTCCCTTTTGAAATTCAGTTGGTGCAAAAGTCAATGTGTTTCTGAAAAGCATTTACACTTGTGTATTCCATATATCAAGGCCAGTGCATTAACCCTTTAACACCCTAAATTAAGTCCCCCCAATAATATCCATACATCTTTCAGCACACAGGTAATGAAGATATTCAAACTTATCAGATAAAGTTAACTTGGTCTTACACCAAATTCTTGTAACTAATTTACAGGGAGATACATGGCTGCTAGAGGGGAGAACTAATAATCAGATCTTGGGAGTTAAAGGGTTTTCATATTTGGTACACTTTAGGGAAAGGCAAAGAAGTTAAATTATGATTAATAGATATTTACCTTAGAGTATCATCAAGGTCTCTCTCTCCATTTCTTTGTGTCTCTAAACTACTCCCTGATACATACATGAAGACAAAGTGTCAATACAATGTCTGTTAATTTAAATTATTTTAATGAAAACGTAAAGCCCAATTACAAAGAAAGAAGTAGTGCTGTAATTCTAAAAAAATTACAGCGTAACTTCCACATACTTTCCAAAATATCTTTAGGTCAAGTTCACCTACAATTCGAAAGAGGCATGCGGAAATAGAGATATAAATAACAATGCGTATAAATAGGTAATTAAATGTGCAAAATTTTCATTAACCTCGTCATGTCGTAGTACTAGATTCACAAACATGTTAGATAAAAACAGGAGAAAGGTATTCATTACTCTTGTTTATCATTAGTATAACACACACGACAGTGAGCAAGAAAATAACAAAGACTATTGACTTAATCTTTGCCATGACTAAAACAACCATTTACTCCTATTTCATCGGATACACATTGACAGTCACTACTTTCATTTTCATTTTGACACATGAAAACTGCATCAAGCAGAAGTTTACAATTACGATGAACTATGCGCTACTTTCTTCATTTAATAACCTTAATTTTTTCCTTTATCGTGCACCCATACAGTCACTCATGACGCAGTGTTTTCGAAACTAAATCTTTCAATTTGTATGTACCAAAAGTAAAACTTTGTCACTGCGCGAAAAATTACAAGTGAATTTGCACCCACCATCACTTGTTCCAGTGTTTCCGATGTTCAGCAAGTCGCAAAGTATTTTTGAAGCCATTCCTCTAGCATTATCGTCCATTTCCGAAAATCGTAGAGGGAGCTTTTCTCACGAGCAAAAATTAAAAGTCGTAAACAAGAATATGACCTTTCGCATAGAGGAAGTGTAGTGTGTAGTCTTCATTACAAAATGGCGACAAGACGCGCATACATAAATTATTCAGACAGCTACTCTGGGGAAGAATGATTGCGGGCGCTTGCGAGGAATAAATCTAAAAATACCACACAAAATTTTAAATCATGAAAGACCAACTACTGAGAACAATTGCTTTTTGAACAAGCATTACAATAGTTTAACTTTATATGATAGGAAAATAATTCGTGTGATGAAAGCGGGGGCTTAAGAAACCCATAATAATCTGCTCATTATTAAATCACAAGAAACCTATTTTGTAACAAAACACATTACTTCCTTTATTTCCTGCAAGCATTTAAGGACTTTTCAAAACTGTTCTGGGGAACTTTTATGGATTGTAGTCTTTCATCTTTCAGAAAATATCTTTGTTTCACTCGACCCTATCCCAGAAAGTGACTTCTTTCACACGCCCCACCCTAGATGGTTGATTATTGACCCACGCGCGAAAAGTGAAAGCAAAATGGCGGACAGAGAAGCAAGGGAAGTTGTTATTTCCACGTCTTCGTCTGCAAGACTGTTACGATGGCGAGTTAGTCCTGGCTCAGAAGTTAGAGAAGGGAGTGTTCTTTGTTTCTATGAAATTATTGGTGACGGGGATCGGGCTGGATCTTTCATAACTCAGCCGAAACTCAAATCAGCCTTTACTGGTATAGTCCGTGAATTGCTGGTCGCTGAGGGAGAAATCGTAGCAGCCAGGTGAGAAACGGTGGGTCAAACGCGAATAGGAAAAGTCCCTAAAATGCGGATTTAAATATTTTTAACAGTTAGAGAAAATCTGTCGTGGAAAAGGTCTGAGTCATGTGCGGACAACTAAGTTCGTTGTGATGAGTTGACAGTGGAAAGTTTGTTTTCGTCATAAATGTTCGAACGGTGAAGTGTTTACAGAGCTCATCTATTTAGGAAACGAGAGCTTCAAGGCTGCACTGCACCAGGGCAAGTTGACATATTTTAGATCTATCACTTTACTTGGGGTTTTCTTCCGAATCAGCGAAGATTTCAGTTTGTCCCAAACATCGTGGGTCGTTGCACGTTTGTTGGTTGTGAGAAAGAGAGTAAGATTTGTGCATGCAACGGCTTTGTGTAATAGGAAAACAGATTAGGAATGAAACAATTTTAACTTTTGCATCAGTGGCTAGGTACAGAAATTTCTTTTAAGCTCTTTAAATACCAACAATATGAAGATAAAATACGTTTCTGTCAAGTTCTGTAGCATAGCTGCTCTTAACCTCAATCGCCTGGATTTTGGAGGCGAGTTTTATTTATCGCTTAGTGCGCAAATTTTTCTACGGGATTTGATTGGCTGTTGAACCACCAATCCACTTATCGCGATTATTTTAATTCCTTTTATTTTAATTTATTTTTACAATTTATTTAAATAGAATTATCTACTTCCATCTAATGCTTGTATTTGTTGAGTGAATGAAGAGTTTTACTGATATCCCATTTTATAGCAATATAAAGGAGCTTAGTGACTTATCATGTTTCTTTAAATTGTATCCAGCTTGCATTTTCCATTTTTTTTTTATGATTATTAATTTTAATATTTGACAACCTTAAAAATTACTCATTCCTTACCACTAACCTGTAATAATTGATTTATTATATTTTTAAGCCATGCTTTGTTAAGATTATTATTTTTGTGATCAAAATTCATACAAAATGAGTTGACTCATGACTAGAGGCTTTGCTGGAAATCCCAAAACAAAACAAAAACAATGACTATAAAAAAAAAGAGAAGAGAAAGAAAAATGGTTTTAGTACACTGTAGACTGGAATTAACTCAAAACAAAAGAAAACAAACACAAAAGGAAACAAAAACACACTAAAAGTCATCAAGGTTTCATCCTTTAACCCCTTTGTGGAAAAGTTTTCACACACAGCTTTCTGTCAAAAATCAGTGTTTGTCCTGTTGCACATTATGAACAAATTAATTATCTCTGTCTATTCTTCTGTGTGTTACCACAGAAAAATGCTCTGCTGTCTTGGTTTAAACTTGGACCATAAATTATCTATTTGAATTGAATGTTTGATAAGGTTTTAAAATGTAGAAACAAAACCAAGGTAATATCAGCGGACATTCCCCAGTTTTTAGATGAGCAATATTGGATCACAGTATATACTTTAACCAATCATGTATGAAGTATAAGAACATCAAAATCTTTCATTATAGTTAACAAAATGTAATTGTGTTATTCTTAGCATGCCAGTATTGTTGATAGATGAAGCAGAATGTGAACATCGGATGGTCATGAAAGATTTATGCTGTGACTGTGGTGCTGATCTCAGAAAGTAAGTATCTGCAGTATAAACCTTGACTATTTTTCCTAGTTGGTCACAAGCAATTGCTTAGTCATGTAGCAATGTTTACTAATAGCCTTGTAGAAAATGGAAATCAGCCTAAGTTTACCATCAGAATGTGCGACCTTTAGAAATGGAAATACCTCTAGAATGCTTTGTTTGAGAAGAAGAAAAAGCAGACAAAATTTACACAAAAATGGTCATCAGTTTGTGGTTATGCACTATTATAGATCTACATGTGCTTTAGTAAGCTAAAACTGACTGGTACCTTTCAAATTTCGAAGCAAGAGTGATTTTTCGCGGGCTTTCTGCTAAATTTCATGACATTTGTCAGTTCTCTACACATGCAAATGTGGTGTCGTTTAGTTGTTCAGTTTCCACAATGAAACAGTAGCAAACAATGCTGTCATTTCTGTTCAGTAACAAGAGGTCACGCAGAGTGGCTGGTAAGCTTTATAAGAATTTGAGGGGTAAACAAAACAAAGGTTATGTACTAGCGATGGAAAAGCAGCCAATATTGCCAGAATAACCACCTTAACAACTCTATAATTGCCCCACAAACACGTGGGGACAAAGCTAGTCTTCATCGTGAAATTCTACTTGAAATGTGTTTCAGACAACGGTTTAAAAGAAGCCTTGAAAATAAAATCTCTCAACAGTGCAAAAGTTCTGAATTTGAGACGATTAGAACACAAATTCAGCTAGTTGATGTGATTCAATTTCATAGCAATGCAATTCATTGCTGACACCATTGATTTTCCAGCGATACGTCATGTAAGTGACACCAAAGATATCACCCGAAATTAAAGGGAGACCAGGCTATGTTATAAGCAGTTTGGAAAGGGCATGGTCAAATACAATGCTTTTAAACAAAATTTTACATTGTTTTTTTCAACCTCTGAAACTAAAGGTGTATCGTTCACATAAGGAATTTTTCGATGGAGAATGTTTGATAGGCGCGATGTACTGTATGCTTTAGGAAATGACAAAGTTGAGAATGACCAGCCACCTGAAGCTGCAAATGTGCTTTACGGGTTTGAAAAGGTCCCTTACCTGTTGTGCTGAAAACTAGGGAGAATCCTGAGTTGGTTATGCCATGAGAAAAATTGTGAAATATTTCTTGAGTTTAAAAACCAATATGGTTACTTGTCATAATTATTTGATATGTCAGAATGATCATATATACATATACTGAATTGTTGAAATGCATATCTTTAGGACTAAATTAAGGAACCTATAATTTTACATAGACTTTGTGTACAAGAAAATTTGTCGATCATTCTGTCAGTGAGTGGAAATTCAGAAATTAAATTAGCTTTTGATCTTGCAAGTCATTTTATTATGCAATACAACTGTATATAGTGAAGTAATGGTGACAACACAGTGTCTAATGATTCATTTTGTAGACTTCGTGAAGAACAAGATGAGCCATCTTCCCCAACTTTGGCATCTGTGCCACTTATACATAACATTCCTGAGCTAAAAGTGAGCCAAGAGGTATGCGCTCATTATTTGTTATGGTTGGAAAATAGGATTGTCGATTTCTTTATGAATAAGATTGTTTTTGTGGTGTGTTAGGCCTTTTTAAGGGCCCCCCCCCCCCCATTTTGTCCTGAAGGAGACAGAGATTTACTGGGAAGGTAAAGTGACTTGTACTCCCCTTCTGAAAAAAAAAGCTTTGATCCTCATTGAATAATTTAGCAGTTTGTGAAACTGAAAGATTTTGATCCTTCTAATAATTATCAACGGTTCAATCTTTTTTCTAAACATGGTACAATTCCATTTCAGGAGGCAGAAGCTTTGGGAAAAAAGGATGAGGAGCGACTCCTTCAAACTCGCAAATTGTCCCTTGTAGTGGATCTGGACCAGACCCTCATTCACACAACTATGGAGCTGATACCACAAGATATGGAGGTATAAATCTTATTTCACAAATAGTTATATAAAATTGATCTTCACAGGTAAACTGCAATTGAAGTTGTCGCAGAGAAAAAAGGCTAAAAGAAAGAAAAACAGGTTTCAGTGAGGATAGTACCTAGCAACCTGTGGGCCTGAGGGTTCCCAATTCTCTGCTGAAACAGGGGATAAATTAAGGGAGGCATGCAGGTATACAGGGGATGTTATTTGTAAAATAGAAACAGACATACCAAAATTATTAGGACAAATTGTTCGGGGTTTTGAATGTTCATCCAGGCTGAGTTACTGACAGTCTCAAAGGCTACAAAGGTTGCTGGGTGAATCTGCTGCTAATAACAAGGGTCTTTTTTAGCAAAAGGATTATACTTATGTCTTCCAGATACCAGTTAATTTGGTTTTATCAAGTGAGTTGGTGATGTAAATTGGCCACCATAAAGAGTTTGTTACTTTGGTTATCAATCGGTTACAGTGGCCAATTTAGAAGACCAACTCAGATGATAAAACCAAATTATCTTGTTATACTCCACCAACGCAGCACCATAGTTTCCAGATATCAGTTGGGCACCACTACTAACTGAGCTATGAGGCCATATGTTTGGAGGGTGAAAAAATTTGTCTTTTCATGAGTTACTGTCTTGATTGTGTTTACATTCAGTGATTTTCTCAAAATCTCGGTGCTACCTTTTGACCATTCTGGATGTAAAGTTGCGCCAAGTACCATTATATCAATCATGTTTTCCCATGATTTAATCCAGGTATACTTTGTTTCCTTCATACATTCATTAGATTAACAACTGATTATAAAATGTTGATATGGTTACAGGACGTCCATCACTTTCAACTACCTGATCAGCATGTGTGGTATCACACTAAGATCAGGCCAGGAGCAGTGAACTTCCTGAACAGTGTATCCAGTCTTTTTGAGCTGCACATCTTCACCATGGGCTCAAGAATGTATGCTCACACTATAGCCAGAATGTTAGACCCTACTGGAAAACTCTTTGCACACAGGATTCGTTCAAGGGATGAGTGCTTTAATGCATTTTCCAAATCTCATGACTTGAGGTTAGAAATCTTCCAAGTTAATGCTTTATCTGCTTAAAGCTATTTATTTGTATAACCTTTTGCAATCACCTACAAGTATAAATCACAGTTGTTCAAATTCAATCGAGAATTAATGTAAGTGAATTCTGGTCAGAGGCCTGGCAAGGCATTTCAGGTGTGTGAAACTTTTCAGGTGTGGCAAACTTTAAAATACCTGTGGCATGTGTTTTGTTCACCTGTTAAGAGGCTCCTGGGACGAAAGGAAACATTGACTTATAGAAGAGCAGTGGGTAGGCTGAGACAACCCGGTACACACCCTCAGTCTGAGCCTGGATCTTCGTTTAGCATGCAACTTTCTTTCACGTTCATTTCTTTCTTTTTTTTTTTCCTTTACCCAAAGTCGAGCCGGTTTGTCAAATAGTACTTTGCTTTCTTAGCTGTTTCTGCTTCTGTTGGCTGTGAGAAATATTTTGGTCTTGCGAGGTTTCAATAGTTTTTCCATAGGCGGGCGGCGTCGGTTTATATTTATGCAACTGTGGCCGTAAAAGGAGCCGGAATGTGAACCCGGCTACGAGAGCCTTCTTGGCTAAACAGACGGCGCGAAGAAGTCTTATAGGCGGCGGTAGACCGCGGTATCGGTGATATGCGGTATACCGCGGGAGTATCGGTGGTAGACCGCCGATAATCAAGTTTATTGAAACTCCTGCGGTCTGCCAGTAGGTCCACCGTTTTTAACGTTATGATGGTACTTGTGCTACATGAGATGTCTACGTGAGCAGAATTCGCGACTGCGAATTGATCACAACCAGTTCCCTGGAGATATTCGAAAAATCCTGGTGTTCTATAAATGATTTCAGAGATAGAACATCAGGAACTTGGCCTTAAATGTGTATGTGGGTAGCTTAAAGACTTCATTTAATATCACATACAGTGGCGAATCTTCCCTACTGGAATTCAAAGCAAATTCTTATATCTGGTCATATTTCAGGGCAATATTTCCTTGCGGTGATAACATGGTTTGCATAATAGATGATCGGGAAGATGTTTGGAATTTTGCCGCCAACTTGATTCGCGTCAAACCCTACCAGTTCTTCAAAGGAGTAGGGGATATTAATGCCCCACTAGGTGGATCTGCTCTAGTCACAGAAGATACCAACCCCTTCGGAAATCCTGGTAATCGAAGTGAAACTACTACGGATGATGCAAAAATCGAAGAGTCGAATTCTCGGGACGACAACGAAGGTGGTGTTACGGAGCAGAAGAAAAATGATGCAGCGTTTGACGACAATGGAGAGACAGAACGAAAAGTTGCTAATCCGGAGACAAAGGAAATTCAGAAATTAGATGAAGATATGCAAATTTCCTCGGATAGCAGTGAGCCTGTTATTGAAGACATCGAGCAGAACAAAAGTGAAAAGATCACTGGAGAAGTAGTTGAAGAAAAAGGGGCCTCATCCAAAGTAGTGGAAAATGGCGGAGGTGATAGCGCGAGCAATAAAATTGTAAGTGAGGAGTCGACTGAAATCCAGAAATCGAGTGTAAATACAAGAAACGGAAAACAGAATGCCGATGGAAAAGCTGAAAATGAATTAGAGCAGCGACCATCTGAGGGAAGTGTTAGCCCGTCAAGTAAAACTGAGTTGAAAGGTGAAGGAGGTGAGTGTCAGGTTTTCGTCGAGATTTCTTGCAACCAAATCTTAAGAAGAGTAGCATTCTTGGATTTTCTGGAATTAACAGACAAAATTAATGAAAGCCTTTGGATTCGTTGTGAAAAGGTCCTCTCGCGCAGTTTCATTTTAGTCATTTACCTCTCAGTTTCGCTCGCTACATTGTGATCTCCAAAGATGTGGAGTTCTTCTCCAACTTAACTTTTTCAAAACATTTCATGTGACATGATAAATCTAACGTGTTACGTACCTCCCCGAGTAAAAGAATATATATCCTCTCCTGGGAAGTTCAATTCTGCCGTGAATGAAAAGAACGTGAATGAAAAGAACGTGAATGAAAAGAACGTGAATGAAAAAAATCCGCATAGATCATCCTATGCCCTTGATTTTTCGTAAAACTTCATAACTGAGAAGCAGCCGGTTCATCCCTCAACTCCCAGAAGTGATTTACACTTAAATTCTCCCTTCAATATACATACATCATCCATCAAACGTATAATGAGAATACTTAAATTTATCAGATAGAATTTATTATCTTGATCCAACACCAAATTCTCTTGACTAATTTACAAGATGTGCAGAAGCTAGAAGGGAGAATTGACAATCAGATTGTAGGAGTAAAGAGTTAAAACTGAGTTTTATTGTTATGGCAACAAGGAACACTTTTGGGAATGTGAAAACATATGAACCATAGAGGTTTCTTAACGAAACCTTAAAGTTTCTTAAAGTCAGGTTGGGAAGTGTCATACAACTCTTTGTGCGGTTGATGGCAATTTTCCGGAAAGTTAGTTGAAACAGCGAGAGGAGATGAAAATACGAGATGCTTTCTCTATAGAAATGAAATGGAATAAAACTAGGCTATGTTATGTTCAAATTTGCTGCATATAATCAGAATTTTCAAGACACACTTTGTTTCTAATAATTATAGGATCATTATCTGTAGTTCAATCACTGCATATGTTAATTATATTTTGTACAGTATATCCAAGCGTTCACAATGGTGTTACTTTGATTTTATTTACATGCAAAACGTTCCAGACCAAACGAAAATCAAGAAATCACGGCAGCAAGCCTACGCGTTCGGTGATGGGGACGACGATTACCTCCTCCACCTGGAGGACATTTTACGTCGAATACACGATGTTTATTACAAAACTGTAGAAAGCGTTCAATCGCAGGCTCCAGAAGAGGTGAAAAACAATCCTAACATTTTAAAATATTGTACACCAGGAACATCGACTCCGGATACGAAGATGATAATGACCGAACTACGCCGGGATGTACTTCGGGGAGCTAATGTAGTCTTTACTGGAGTAATTCCTACATCGACAATACAAGAAGACAGTCAACCATGGCGCGTTGCACGCGCCCTAGGTGCTAACGTTAGTAATGCGATTGTTACACCCAAAGATACAAACTCTATCGGTGACGTAACCACCCACGTGATCGCAGGTCGTTTAGGGACAGAGAAATCGTACCGAGCGGTAAAATCCCGCGGGATAAAGGTAGTGAATCCCGGTTGGTTGTTCTGCTGTTTTGAACGCTGGGAGAAGGTGGATGAGCGTTTATTTCCAGTTGAAGGCTTAGAGAAATACAAGCAACAGGTCCGGGATCATGGCACACCTCGCGGGACACCTGGAGAAACTGCAGATACAAGAGCAGTTGAAAAAGCGATTTTGGACTTGGATGTTGTTGATAAGGAAAATGTGGTCACTAAATCAAGATCTGATTCGGCAAGTAGTGCGGATCTTCTTATGTCTACCTTGAACCCCTTATTATCATTTTCGCCTTCGGAGGTCGAAGCTATGGATAAAGAAGTCGAGGATCTTATGAACGACAGCGACGAGGAGAGCGATTTGATAGGAAGTGTGTCAGAATCGAGCAGTCCTTCTGATTCCGAAAAATCAGAATCAACGAGTAAGCGAAAGCGAGAGAAGGAAAGAGACTCGCCGGAGGATGATGATGAGTTGGCAGGCAAGAAAGTGAAACTTGATGATGACGATGATGATGGACAAAATGAAGGGGATGAAGAAAAAGATTCTGATAAAGTTTCAAGCAGCCTTGATTCTGACGATGATTACACTCGCCGCTCGACACCAAGTGACGATGAAGAAGATAATGATATGGCGGCCATGTTAGATGCAGAGTTATCTCATTCTTGAGTAACGTTAGCTTACTGTGTAAATTTGAAGAGCTGTTTTTGATTGAGTGCCAAAAATAATATGGGATTCTTTTGGGTTTGCTTTACTTCGCACTTTGATCAGTCCAAAAAATACACGCCACTCTCTTAACCAATCAAATGCAAAACTAAAATCAACCGCGTTTTTTCCGCGTCTCAGTCAGTTTGCTTGGTTTTACTTTGAGTTTTCATGGCCTCTCAAAGGCAGCGGTTGGCTTTTGTGGTTACTTTGGTTTTGGTTTTACGACACTCAATCGAAAACCGCTCTATAATTCGGGAATGCATTTGTTTTGCATCACTACGCTGTGTTATTTTTCAGAGAATCACACCACTTTCACAACCAATCAGATGCCGGTAAAACTAAAACCATGGCTCTTCTATATGATGACGTCATTTGCTGAAAATCTGCGTCAAGCTTCGTTTCCACCGGCAAAAAATTGTTGAGAATCCTTTCTCTCCTCTCGCTTGGTTTTGTGGCCAAGATTGATTGGTGCCAACAGGAAAAGTCGTTATTATAATCTGAGGACGTAGTGGTACTATATTGAAATCCATAAGCTGTAAACCATGAATATTGCACAATCATAAACGAAAACGTTTCCATTTTTCCTTCTTCGTCAAATAAAAAATCAGCGGAGTGTAAAGAAACAGAGTTACTCATCACAGAAATATGTATATTTTTAGTTATCCAGTTATTTTACTCGAGATGTCACGAATATCCATAAACTAACTTTAACGTCTTAAATATTTTCATTGTCAAATGTATGTTGTGTAAACTTTTCGAAGAGTGAGTCAAAACCTGAAAAAAAACCTTCAGATTACATCCATATAATAGTACCCGAAAGGGTTGATTACAATGGGGTCAATGACACGACTCGTGTGACATGACAAATTGCGTGACATCCCGTGACAGGAGCTTACATGTTGGATTGATGAGTGACATTAGTTAACACTATTTACTAGAAAAAAAGGAAAGAATCTCGACGTGGAAGTTTACTGTTGGACATGACTGTTTCCTGCTCTTGGTTTTGAAAAGGGCGATTAAGATCACGCTGTTTCCCCTTTCAGGCCAAAAAAACTGTATATTTATTTTTGCACTATCGTTCTTGAGGTCACCTGTATGTTACAGCTGGTCTGTAAATGAACTTCACCACGTACAATGAGTTGGATAATTTCAAAATAAAGTTCTTATTAGAACATGATTTTATATGAGGTATAGTTCTTTCTCTTGCATACATTTCTATCTTGCGACAGATTTGTACAGATTTTCAAATAACCTCTGAAACCGAAAGTATTCCTTCTTTTTAAAATATTACTATTTTCAAACATTTTAAACAAAACTTTCTTGACCATATAAGGCAACGAGTTACATATTCGTGACGTCAAGTACTCTTATCGTGTCATTTTCGATAGGGTGTCTCAGACATACTTTTACTTTGCATACGTGCCATGAAGTCCAACTTTGACGGCAGTACGTCAAAATAACTTGCGATCACTGATCGAGCCCTTCATTACGCGGTTCGTGGACTTAATAATGCTTGGGTTTCAGCTGCTCCTATGAAAAGAGTTTATAGTGGCAAAAAATAACTGCGACTTAGACTCGTCATGACAATATATTTCAAAGGTTACACTTGTCTTTAAATAATACTAAAGGGGTAGAAAATACTCAGATATTTGGTCAGCCGATCAGAGCTGATAAAGAACCCACTCCAAGACTAATTGTGCGAACTGAGACATAATCAGACCTTGTTGATAAAAAGTACGTCACGACCTAGGAGAGAATAGGAGAGCAATTTTACAAGGAATCTATTTTTTATTTCATTTTTCCAAATATTAGCATTCCTTGCCCTAACTTGCAAGCAAGAAGAAACCCTCAATCAGCGTTCTCTCAATTACAACAGCTATTTGGAAAATATAAGCCCCGATTTTCATCATCTCTGTCCCAAGACTGCCATGAAACATTTGATGCTTTCAGAGTAATTTCCAGTACTTGATATGAAATGTTATTTTCCTAGTTCACATCGCCAGTCGTCTATCTTCTCAGTAGGAAAAAAAGACATCGTGTAAATAGAAAAAAATCACATTAAAAATTGTTCTAGTATTTTAAACGCCAGAGTAAACTTTTAAGATGTACTCAAAATGTACTGACTCGCCCGCAACTGAATAAATTTTCGTGGAACATGCAGCTTGTCATAATTTGTCAAAGTCGCGCATTATATTTCTTCAAAACCGTTTCGCGGAACAAGGAAGATACGACGTAAGGAGCCGATGAACTGTGACAGAAAATACAGGATGAAACTAAGACTCTTTCCGTTTCACCATATCCCAGGAAACTCTAAAAATAATTCTTAGATAAGCTATGCGGTCCTCTAGTACGTGGTCTCTTAAAACTATTTTCATGTTTTCATAAAAGCAAATTTCTTTCATATCAACGTGATAAACTGATCTGATGAAAAACTGTAGAAAATTTATTTTTATAAGGTATTCTAAAAATAGGACTTTTTCAATCTCGTAATTTTCATGCGCGACGCTTTTAATAATTGTTTCATATTTATTTAGCTGATTATTTCACAACTATATTATGTCTGTTTTCGCTTTGTTCTAGAACGTATTTTTATTGTTAGGAAATATTCCAATGATATCACTTTTTCCGCTCGAATACCAGGGAAAAGAGAGAGTAGAAATAAAAGATCTGGCCATTCAACAAAATAATTCATGAAATAAAATGACTTTTCATCACTTTTCCGGGTAGAAAGATATACTACTCTAGTCAGCTGAGGGAAGACTGACTCAATTAAGATACATAGTAAGTACAGATGGCACAAAATGATCTTTCCTTAATCTGTAGAGAAAACTTCATGTATGTGCTTTAAGAATCATTTCGTTCCGATAACGATGGGATGGGAATACAACAATGATGTCATAAAGTAGGCATGGATGGATTATTATATTCCTTGGAAAATTTAATTCATCACGCAGAGAGAAAATTATTTTTGTTCTTAGGCACAGTATAGCGAAGGGTACTAGTTGCGTCAGTTGAACGTGTTAAGATGATAATATGAAAGTATATTTTTCAGAAGAAATATTAGGATCAAGATATTGACGAATTTCCAATTCGCATGCAACCTAGTTCCCAGGGCTTTTCCCTCGTAAATTCGTAAAAATAATGATTGGGACCAATGATTGGTGGAAAATAATGACATGCGCATAATTAAAAAAGCCTTACTTGCTTTGACTACTGGTGGGAGGAAGGAAGCGAAGACAGAGCACATCTGAAATAGTAACTGTATTAAAACAGGAGCCGGTATTTCTAAGAAACTCAATGTTTTGCCCGCTGATGATGGATCCCAGGATTGGTTGGATTCAACCGGAGCAAAAGGGGCCAGCTCATGACACATGGACAGCAGTTTTGGAGGATGTCACTTCACCAACGATGGTCGACAATCATCGTAGCAGGGAATACATCCCTTTGAATCGGAAAAATACTTTTAATGAAGAAGTGGAAAGTACCAAATTGAACAACCTTATAAATTCCGACAAGAATCATGTTACTAAGAAGAAAAGAGTTGAGAATCAAACCCCTTGGTGGTCCAAAGATAAAAGTTATCCAGACGGGTCGGTGGGGTAAGTTTAGCGAGTTTCATTCTCGTCGAATTGAAGCGTGACAAACCTCGGATATTTGAGTGAAACGCCTCTTCTTTTGTTTATTAAGGCTTCATGAGGAAATCTTGGACTTCTACAATTTTATGAAACCACGAACGGCCGAACATACCATGCGACAAGAAGTGATAGCCAGGGTTCAAGAAGTCATCAGACGGCTCTGGCCTACGGCTGATGTACGTATGAGCAACATTCAGTTATTACTTTTAATTCTCACAATAGTCGTAAAGAAAATATTTAAAAAGCTCTTAAGAGTTATAAAAAGCAACGGTCTTTAATTTCTGGCCATTCATTTCAGGTGGAGGTGTATGGAAGCTTTCGGACGGGGCTTTATTTACCAACCAGGTGAGAGGACTGTTGTGGTTCACTTCAGCGAAGACGGTGTTTGATTATCTTTGTGCTGTTTAAGTTTTGTGCTTCTTTAAACTCCCTAAGAGTGTTTCTCCCCTTACAGAAGGCTTTACATTAAGATGCAATAAATATTTTTTGTTTTATGGGCGAAGATTATTTGAGACAAAAAGAGGCCTCGTAGTTTTCACTTTATTTTAATCGTTTTGTGGTACAAAGAACAACAGAAAGGGTATAAACATGCAACCTGAAACCGAACGAGCGTCCTCCGAGGTCTATTTTAAACGTGAACGTGCTCAAAAAGTCTTTGTGTCACAGTAGGTTTCCGTAATTTGTTTTTGCTTATCGAGTCCGTTTAAAATTCACAGCGACATCGATATTGTTGTGTTTGGAAATTGGGAGAGACTGCCGCTATGGACGCTTGAGCAAGCACTCACGGCAAATAAGATCGCCGAGGCTTCATCTATGAAAGTCTTAGACAAGGCATCGGTGAGAAATGGCAATAAAATGATTTTTGTAGTTAAGTCTTTGACTTAGACATGTTGTGATAATAATTTGGTATGAATATTATAAATTTGTTGCTAAAGTTTAGAATATGTTAGTCTTAAATTTCGCTCTCGCTTTTCTTTCGTCGGCGAAAGACCAATGTCTTAAAAATTCATGTTTTAGCTATTTCGTTGCGGACAGTTGCTCGTATATAATTAACAGTATTGCGTTGATCATTCTGTACTCAGTGATAGGTGGTACAGGAAGTGTTAACGGTACAAAAAGTCTTAAAATCATTGTACTTGCACGCGAAAATACTTGTCGCTTAATTGTTTATTCATAACTACCAATACTGATTCTCCGTATGCTAATTTATTGCGGGTTCGTCCCCTAGCGAAATTTGAATATATTTGATCCTCTTTATCTCGAACACTGTGCCCTTTGGCACTCTTAGAGTTTGTTTTTCTTTTTGTTTAATCATGCTTAGAACGCGACCGATGACCTTATTTGGGATTGAGTGCACTGCTCATTATGAACAGCACGATTTCCATCATTATGCAAAAATAAAAATAAACAGTACCTAATTTTTTCGACTAATTAACACATGTGCATGTCTAATTAAATGAAGTTTGATACTGTATTGAAAGACGAACAAAGAGTGGAAGGTAAAAGGTGTATGCTTAGTTTGCATATTTTGTTAAAGATCACACCATTTATTTGGCAATCTTCCCAAAATTCCTGTGGGTCAATAATTGACCTGTTAGTTAAGTATGAGCATATCAGGGTATATTTTTACTTGATAAAAGACCTGATTGGGCATATGACATAGGGGTATAGAAAGAACTTTTGTGGTGTATATTCCACTTGCTTGTTATTTAAGCTTTGTAAGTATACAATTTGCTTCATCTCAAATTATTTCTAAAAAACATGAAACTGCATTTTGTTGGTAACAAATTTTTTTATGGAATGGCCTATTCAACTGGAAAAAAAGGGAAAAATAGGCATTTTCCAGCCTGCTCAAAAGTGCTTTCAGTAATGTGCACAGTGTGTGTGCAAAGAAGTGTTATTAAGTAAATTTGCTTGGGATTTTCATGAGTTTTTGTCACCTGTGATGTTTGAAATGTTTTCAATTGTAGTGAAAAGCAGCACTCATTCAATAACCAATTCTTCTAAAACAAACTTTGAAACCCTTGCACTGTGAAAAAAAACTCATGCATGCAATTTTTGATTCTGATTGGTAGAGATATGTTACTCCATTTGGATTAATTGTTTCTTCTGCTCTGAAAATTTCCAGTTAATGGAATGTTAGATCCTAAATTAACCTAACTTTGTTCAGACAGTCACCAAAAAGATTCTAAGTAGACTCAGAGGAAACAAATGTAGTGAAGATGGCAGAGATAAACTTGGCTTCAAAAGTGCAAACTTGAACAACTCACTTGAACACTGTGAGGATGGGCAAGAACTTTCATAGCTTATTTGAGTCTCCCATCCTGAGACATCCTGGATCAGGTAATGGGTTGTGAAATAAAGTCTAATTCCTTAGAAACTTAGCAATCTGATACAAGCAGTTCTAGTTGATTTCAGTGGTTTATATGGGGGGATTTCTGTGAACATTAATTATGCAGAAAAATTAATAACTAACGTTTTCCTAACTGTTGGGTGGGGGTTGATGGGTAGAATTGAGATTGCTTATTTCAGAGACTATATTGCACTCTTTGTCATCACAAACATCGGACAACAATGGTGTAGTTTTGGTATAAATACCATCTTAACATAGTAAATTAATCTTTGAATGCCCTAAGGCCACAGATGGATCACATTGAAATGAATTGTCCCTTTAAAGTAATGTGAGGTTGAATTTTTTAAGTTCTTGCTTCAGTTTTTCAAAGTCAATAATATTTTATATTGTTTAATGGATTTTTTCTGAATTTTTAATCGGCATATAGCCCACAGGATGATTGTGAATAACAGCCTTTATATAATGGTCTACTCGTGTATAGTACCATCTAACTGTGTTTTGCTGAAAATTGTATACCCCTTTTGTCAATTATACTCATATTTTCCATAGGAAATTGCTGATGGCTTCTCTAAGCTGCCAGAGAACAATTCTTGAAATAAATGATAAAAAAAAAAAGGGTGTTCTTTCCCAGAAAATGACAGGGTTTTTCCTCTATGTTCTCCAATGATAGTATTGTTAATTATAGCTCAGGACAGACAGTTGCTTTCTAACCAAAAGTAGGTCATTCTTTAGAACTGCAAAGCTTGAAGGCATGTAGAACTGTCATTTCTTCCTTTTTAAAATTATTAGCTATTTAAAATCTTCTGTGCAATATTGCCATCATAAGTTATTTCTACATAATGTTTTGCACTTACTGTAGATGTTACCAGCTTTCTCATTATGGTGAAAGATCAGTTACGCTCTACAATCAGCTATGCAATTAGACAGAATTTGCAGGCGTTGTATCTTAAGCTTATGACCATCATTCATCAGTGTTAAAAACTATCATTCTGTGTTAAGAAAAAGGAGGAAATTGGTCATTTGCCAATGGAAGTTTGGTCATATCGTGAATAAAAGGAACTGAAAGTGATTTAGAAAGGCCATGTGATCCTAGTTTAACGGTAATATTGCATAGTAGAACTCTTGTTGTCAAGGTAGTTTTGCTAGTGACATCTTTAGTGGCAAAGCATTTGGTCATTATGAGTTTTTGGTGTCTTGTTTATTCATCCATGACTTTTTATGAAACTCTTAAAATTTACTCTTACTCTCAACCTTAGCTGGTTGTTGAAAACCTTTCCGCTTGAGCAACCTTCTTTAAAAAGAAATATATCAAAAGTGCACAGCAAAGACACCAATTAGATGTTTTTTGTGTTTGTAATTTAAACATTTTATCATAGATAGCTGAATTAATTTATCCACAGGGTAGCCTGGCTTGTGTGAGAAAGGTTGTTTTTTCCTTTTCTTGGGCCTGGCTACTTGACTGTAAGTTGATTTAGCAAAAGAATTAAAAATTTGATGTGAGAATAAAATTGTACCAAGAAATGAACATGATGGAAATTATAAACATGCAAATTTAACACTGTTTTGTCTTTACTCAGGTTCCAATAATCAAACTGACAGATCAAAAAACCAATGTGAAAGTGGACATAAGCTTTAACGTTCCAGCTGGATTGAAGGCTGCTGAATTTGTTAAGGTAATGTCATCCAGACTCCTGTCTTAAGGATGATGTTTGTTTGGTATACAATCAGGTGTTATTTGAGTGTTGATAAAATTTACAGAAATTAACACAATTTTTCTCATGCAAATTTTATACATTGTATTTTGTTTTGTTTTGGTTTTCTTTTTTCATTTAATTTTTTGTTTTCTTGGTAGTGGGATTTATTTTGGATGAGGGAAAAAAAAAAAGCAAAATAAGAAAAATAATAAATTTTTTTATGCTCCACAGCAAGTCATTAGTTATAACTTACGGTATTTTTGATTGATTTCTATTCCACTTGGCACAATTTCATTTTGATCCAGGGCTGACAATAGGGAAACAAAAGGCGTCTTTACCTACTCTAAAATTAAATGTTCAAAATTTGGCAGCACAGCCCTCCATCTTTACAAATACTAGGACTTATTCAACCAAATTTTATATTTCATTGTCCATTAGCATCTTTCAAATTACTTGGAAGCAAAATAAAGTGAAACTTCCAAATAATTGGTGTGTACTGTGGTTCAATAATTTGAAACAACCCAATTTAGAGGAACGGTTTAGCCCAGAACAATTTTTGAAGCAGTGAGAGGCACTGACCCCTCTCTTTATGAAATTGTAAATACTCTCTCTGTTCATTTCTGTATGCTATCATATCTCAGTTAATACATGTGCCATGATTGGTAAATTTAGCTATATTTAGTGGGCCTGTTTTAAATGTACATGGGCCATATTGAATTGTATTGCCCCGCACTAAATTAAAAAGTTTGTTTAAATTGAAAGCTTCCCTCTCATTTTGAACCCAGAAATTTGATAAAGATCTTGCTAACCTTGTGGTCTCATTCAGTATTGTAGGTTACCAAACCTTTTTCCATTTGGATTTATGGTCTGCACACTTTGTGCTTGGGTCATAAATCAGGGTAGAAAAAACTGAGTCCATAACTTACAGTTAGTAAGAGGTGTATTTATTGGTAAACAGAAGAACATCAAATACTATTTGAACTGGAATGACACTTTTCATGTTTTCAGGACCAAATAGAAATCTTTCCATGTTTGCCACCTTTGGTGTTAGTTTTGAAACAGTTCTTGCTGCAGCGAGAACTGAATGAGGTGTTTACTGGTGGTATTAGTTCATACAGTCTTATTCTGATGGCCATTAGCTTTTTGCAGGTGAGCTCTCCTAAACAAAGCTCTAGCTATCAGTAAGGGAATAAAAAAACTTTGTTGCTGTGTTGGAAGGGGGTATTAACTGCTGAAGATAATTTCAATCAAACTAGATGTTTACTGGCTACCCTGAATGGTTTTTAAAGCTGACATTTTGAGCTGTAATTTTGGATTAGGCTGAGGTTTTAGTGAAAATTTTCATCTGCCTTAAGAGCATCATGATAATATTGTCCAAGCTTTTCAACAATAGGTGTTCCCTTGGTGGATGAGGGAATAGTGCATAGGAAAATGTGTTAAGAAAAACAACTGGGGAAGAAAGCTGTTTTATATTTTAAAAAAATGACATTATTTGCTTGTTCAGATAGCAGTTCTTATTTAATGGATATTTTGATTTATTTTTGCATTCTGATGTTATTTTTCCACATAAGGGCAACAGAACACACAATTGCAAGGTTTTTATATTGTAGAACAGGGAAAATATAGGGAGTGAGGGTGAAGCATCAAAGTGGCTGCACAAAACGATCCAAACTTTGTTTTTTCTTTTACATTCAGTTTACTTGACTCTAAGGGATGAAGTTTAAAGTTAAACTAATTTTTTTTGTTTATCACCTAAGACACTTGAGGATCCTTAGGAATTGAGTGGACCCTTGTAATAGCCTTGTTGCAGAGCAATGCATTTGTTTGTCAAAAATGTTCTGTTAACATGTGCCTCAAAGCTCTTACCAGGAACACTTGAGATAACTGAGAAGGGCTACACAACTGTAATATTGCAACTATTTGGATTAGAAGAATTTCATATGAAATTAATTTCAAATTGGGATGTCTCCAGCAGTCTTTTCTTCTTTAATTAACTTCATAAAAGATACAAGGAACTGATCATAGCTACCTGAGGCTCTCAAAAGCTTTTTGCTTGGGAACTCTTGAAATAATTTTGTACACTCCACAGCATCATATTGGAAATACAGAAAGATTAAGGCATATCTTGAGGCATCACATTGGCTATTTTTCAATTCCCAATTTTTTTTATTATTTTATTTGACAAAAATCTTTCATCATCCAGAGAGTGCTTGATAATTCATTAGAGAAGAGTGAGGTAGTGAAATGGAGAAATTTATTTTTCCAAATGCAAACTTAAGATATTAGTTAGATAACTCTTTGGGGTGTATCTGCAGATCACCTTGGGGTTTAGCAAAATCATTAGACAATTCATTAATGGTTTCGATGAATAATTTAAGAAAATCATAAACAAGGCATCAACTAAGTTACTAGTAAGAATACTACTTCATTGAAAATAATTTCAGATACTTATCTTGAAAACCAGTAACAATTCTTTATTGACTTGGATGCAATCAATATGAAACTTGGAAATTGGGTAAAAGATTTTTTTAAAATTGTATTTAGAATCACATTAGGAAGGAAGGCAGAACACTGAAAAACAACCTTGGGGTCCTTCTGATTGAGTTCTTTGAACTCTATGGACGTAATTTGAACTACACTAATGTGGGAATCCGAGTGAAAGATGGTGGAACCTATTTTAGCAAGCAGGAGGTGAGTTGTTGCCCTTAATTCACCTTCCCTGTCAGATATGGAAGATTTACAATGTTTTTAGCAAACTTGTATCCTGATCATTTGAGATTAATTACTGATGTTACCTTAATTCTCAACTATAAAGAAACAAAGTAAACCTGATTATTTGTGGTCTTATTAAGAAACAGTAAATCATTGAATTTCTTCCTAAGTGACCATGTTTTCTTTCTCAGGTTTTGCACAGTATGGATGACGTTTTCAATCAATCATGTGCACTGTTGTGCATTGAAGATCCCTTCACTCCAGGTGCCATAAAGAACTACTTCTCTTTTCACTCCTAAAATTGCTTTTACTATGAAAAATTGTTCTTCTTGTCACTCATTTTATTACTGGTAAATCTGTAGAATTTCTCAGTTTTGAAAATATGTTAAACTTTTTTGCTTTCTTTGTAACAAATTTCTCAAATTAACCAATCATCCACAATTAAATCCACTGGAGTTGCACAGAGAATAAGAGAGATGTGAAAGACCCTCCTCCGTAGCTTTTCAGTGTGTCACCCCACCTGTTTCTGTTTGCACAATAGTAACCAACATAGCTAACTTATTAAAACACAATATTTTGTTCTTTCACTAAATTAGCTTTGTTCACATTTGAAATAACTAACCTCCCAAGCTTTTAATGCCACTTTTTACCTCAAAATTGGAGTCAATTGAGAATGAAGGTAACATTTTCTGGCTGAGAGGCACTACAAGAAATGTTGTTATACAGATTGGTACATGTGATCAACAAATTAACAGAACTAGTTTTTATTTCTGTTGCTAGTAGGTTGCTATTGGCAAATTTCAAGTTTGATGATTGTCATTATTAGCTAAAAAAAAAATCCAAATTCCAAACTTTTTGGCGAGAATGTCAACAAAATAGAGATTTTCTCCATGCAATAGACTGCACATTCTATCTGTCCACTGGGGCAATAACCCATATGGTTACAAAGAAACAAAGAGCTGGAAATAGGTTTCATGTTTTTCTTTTCCTTTTTTTTTTTCCTCAAATCTATTGGTTACCAATTGGAAACTATTGACAAAAATTTTAGTGGCCAAATATATTTTGTGGCTACTGCCTTTTGTAGGAAGTAAAGATGAGTTGTTGAGATGAGTGAGTGAGTGCAAGAGTGAGGGTAATAATAGAATTCTGATCTTTACCCAATTTTGACCTAGTGTTTCCTGGTGCTTATCATTGTTTTGTTTTGTTTTTTCTTTTTTGTGAGTACCATTATTTTTGTAGTTCAACTTATGCACTCAATACACAGCTGATTTTCTCCTTTTGTGATTTATGGATTATACCTACTAGCATATCATGTTTACAGTTCCCACTGTGACACCACACAAGACAGCAGAAGAGGATAAACATCACACACACATTTTCTGATTGTGCACAATTAAAAACAAAAGTTTTCCTAGAAGACATATCTTGATGTGTCATGAAACTTGGAGGAAATTTTTTTCTTTCAGGAGAGAGCATTTTATTGTTTAAATAAGAAAATTATATAGATCGGAAGATGTCATCTTTTCAGTTCTTACCGTGACACTACAGAGACAATAAACATCTCAAGATAATTTCACTGTGGCATCCACCGATGCATAATTTAGATGAAAACTCTGTAGATGTGATCTGCACATCATGGAAGCTTAGAGGGAATTTTTTTTTTGAAAAGAGAGCATTTTACTGTTTGAATCAGTTACTTATGCCAAAAAGAACCACAAAATTTGCAAAGTGAGCAAGCTGCAAAATACAATACCTTGAGTTGTTCAACTGAATAATGGAATGGAGGAACAGTGGATCAGCCATGTTGGCTGATTATCTTGAGACATGAGATGGCAGAACATCCTTAAGAATTATTATATCTTATCACTTAATGAGAAACAAAAGTCTCACAAAATGATATAGTAATATTATTTGTTACCACTAAATTATAGGTTGAATGTCAATTAGACAATATATTCTTGAATCATCTTTCTCTTGTGGAACAGGGTACTCATCAACATGTGGGATGTGCAGGGTTTTTTTTTTTGCATGTGAGACAAATATTCTGCAACACTACCTTCTAGCATCATTTTACAACTTTAAGCTCTTTTCAATTCTATAACAATTGTGCTATACCAGTAGCCACATGCAGTCTTTGTCTTTTTTTTTCACTCACTATGGTGAGCCTTGTAGTGATCTGTATCAATGTAGTAACATATTATCATGTTTCTTTGCTCATGGTAGGCAACTACATAGGAAAGAGCTCCTATAAATTTATGGAAGTGAAACAAGCATTTGAATATGCCTATGATGTTCTAAGCAAACAGGTTCTGAAAGAAGATTCTTGTTCACATGATCGGTAAGTTGTAACAGTAATGCAACTAGGATTATTTAGTGATAAATTTGATTCACAAAAAGTGAACCATCTTGAAAGAACTTAGTAATGATGATACTAATTCACTAATGAAATAATTATAGTAATAGTAACAATAAAATTAATTATCATCACCATGTATTGACTGACAACTGAGTTTGTATCCTTGCAGGTTCTGTTATTACTTTAATGGTATTTTCCTTTCAATTATGGTGGTGATTTTTGCTTAACAGAAATTTTGAGAGGCCTGAACAGGAAGGAGCTGGCCACCTCAGCCGCATTGTGCGGGTGACAGATGATGTTGTTGAATATCGTGATTGGGTCGCTAGAGTTTGGCCATCATATGATGTTCCATTAATAGCTGGTGTAAGCCAGTCACCCCCGACGTATGCTAGTATAGCAAACAGACATGTTCAACCTGAGACCCCAGGCATTACATCATTGGATGTCATCAACAAAAGTGCTACATGGCCATTGGGAAGATCTCAGTTAAATGCTGTAACTTTGGTGTCTGAAAATGAAAAGGTGACTGATAAAGAGGAAGAGCCTTTGGTCAGGCACACAAGTGCTGACAGCCTCTTTACTCTTGCAGGGGGAATTGAAATGAAAGTAAATAAAAACTCAGTTTGGTCTGCAACCTCTGTTCGGAAATTGGCAGATTCACTCGCACAAGACAATGTAGCCAAGAAAAGAATGAGCTCTGAAACAAAACCTGCCAATAGTTTAAGGCATTTGAAACCCACTATAACTGCAATACCTTCATCTGTCAGCACTAGCTCCTCATCACCAGTGACTTCTTATTCAGGGGCAATAAAGCAGTCCTTGACACCATCATTGAAACAAACAATAGGAACTCCAGCAAAGGCCTCTGTGGTTGACTCTTCCTCAAAGTTGAAAGCTGTGGCAGTTGTGGGACCTCTAAGTAGTGGCTCTCCAAAAAAGGCTGAAGAGCAGAAGACTTGTGCATCAAATAACAATGTAAGTTGCAGCAGAATCTCCTAAATGTCACTTACTGGTTATGTTAACTGCAGCTGTTTATCCACTCAGCTCAAGCTGTAACCTTTATATGTAACAAGTACATGCAAATTTATTTTATATTTTCAACAGGCAACATCAGTATTTATTGTGTGTTATGTTTATTGAAAAACTTACTCACTTCTTATCACTGGGAGGTGTGTTTGCAGTGCGAATAGTTTTTAGTTTAACATTCAAGATTGTAAGGGTTTCCTCTACAAGTTTCAAACACTTAACTCAGGAAACTGAAATATTAATTCAGTTCTAATATCACTTAAGAGATTAATCATGAAAGAAATTGGTGTAGCATTTTGTGCTAATTAGTTCAACATCTATTGCTCCTATTATAAAAAATTTCAATGGAGTTCCAGATCTCAAAGAACTCTAAAATTGATCTTAACCAACAGAAAGTAATATCTAATATCAGAAAGAAAGGAAGTGTCCAATCATTTACACTGTCGGGAATAATTTGATATACAACTTTTCTGACAATTGGGCTTTTTAGCTTACATGTTTTGTGTACCCATTTCAGGTCCTATGGAAATTCCCAGCTTTATCTTTTGTAAATTTTTGTACATTTACACGTGAATTAGGGGAAATTGGAACGAAACAGTTCTTTAGTATATAATCATATAACCTGAAACAAACCATACATGTACATTTACAAGCTAGAGAGACCTTTTCTTTAAGTTCTCTGTCAAGTGCAATCACATTTTTCAAGATCTGCATTATTTTGTATTGTCACTGGAGTGAAGTATGACAAAAAAGATATTGATATCATGGGTAATGTTCTTAACTGGGAAGATGAAAAAAATTAATTAAATGAAACATGTTCTGTCATGTATTTATTAAATTTTGTTGTTATAATTTACTGTAGAATGCTGTGGTTAGTTCACCAAAGCTGGACTGCGTGACCACCAGGCAACTCAGTAAAGACAATGGTATGGGAAAACAAAGCTCTCCCACAATTTTTTTAAACAGTAAAAAGAACAATGACAACAGTAACCAAAACAACAACAACAATAACAACAATAACAACCACGGCAAAAGTTACACAAACAGTGGTTCAAAGAGTTCATCTAAACACAAACGTGGGAAATCACCCAAGAGTAAAAAGGGTAGGAGTTAATGACAAGGTGGAAAAGAGGAACCATGTTTCAGTTTCACTTCTTTAACAGTGGCGGTGATTCAATCATCATATTTAATATGTTACATGACTTTTTATGAAATTAGTTTGTGGGAAATATTTCAATACTCTTTGAGGGGACAGAGCAACAGAGATAAGATTGCAAAAAATCTAATCTATAGTTTTGAAAAACCAAAAAAAGATTATGTACTATAGTATTTTTTAAACAACAAAACAACAAATAGAAAGGTTGTTATTCAATTCTCCTTTTGGGTTCATTCTTTTCTTTTAGGGCCCTTGGAAAAAAATTTAAGACTTAACAATGCAAAATAATGAATTCATAAATTCAATTTCTGACCACCAAAAGTTTCTATCTGAGAAAGGAGAGGAGTATTTCAGTTAAGAAAGCACCTGTGTATAAATGGATCTGTAATACTTCTGGAAAAAGTCACAGTTTATTTTAAGTAAGAATCGTGTCGATTATGGGCATGATTGTGACTATCATTCCTACATAGCCAGTGCCAGCTCATCTTTTGTGTTAAAAGTATATCCTTGGCAAATGTGCATGTTGATATATTGGAAAACAAAAATAATATGACAATATCTATTTGAATTACGTAGGCTTCCCTTTATTCTTTAATTTTTACATTGCACAGGGGTTAGTGTTTATTTTGTTTCACACTTGTGATGGAAAATGGAATTTTTGTTGTAATTATTAGCTGTTGATCTGAGCTGTTAGACTTGGAATTGACTAATTGCTAATGAGGGTTTGTTTGCAGAAAGATTTAGACCAAATTTAAGACTTCACTATTATTGGACTTCACCATCACAAAAATCATGTGAAAGAAACTAGAATGAGTTTTTGAAACATTGGCACTGAGAACGAGTTAAAATGTTTAAGTTATTATAATGATTTATAAAAGCAACTAGTCCCAAAATCAATAAAAAAAAGGAAACATTGAGAGTTGCAATACAACTGAGTGAGAAGAGGGGTAGATTAGGGATAGCCTGGTTGAATGAGTTAGAAGGTTCAATAAGAGGAAGTGGGAAATTTGTGAGAGCATGAAGCACGTGAGAAGTACTAAAATGAAAAAAAATATATGATCATTAGTCTACATTGTTTTAAAATTCCTGGCAAGGGATGAGAATCTAAGGTGCAGCAAGATGAAGACTTTAAGCCTCCACACCTGCTTCTGTTGCTTCCTCTGACAAAAGCAGACAACTACTAGTGGGAGTCAGATTTTTTTATTACAAGTATACAGTTCTAGACTGAATTAAAGAACATGGA